CGTATTATTGGTAAGAAGAGAGAGGTAACGGCTAAAAAGAAGGATGGGACCGAAGTGCCTTGTGAGTTGGGCATTCAAGAAATCAAAGATGTTTCCACCGGGAATCGCTTCTTTTGTGGATTCTTCAAAGACTTGACACTCTTGAAGCAACATGAAGCCATGTTACAGGAAAAACAAGCCCTGGCACAGGCCATGGTCAATGCTTCGTTTGATGGAATGGTGGAAATTGATCAGCAGGGGATCATACAAATCGTAAATGACGCCGCTTGCAACATGTTTGGGTACACCAGAGAAGAGTTTTTAGGAAGCAACATTTCACTTATTTGTGGCGATGGCCATGCCAAAAACCACGATGCCTACCTGCAACGATACATGGAAACGGGACAAAAGCGAGTGATTGGGCAAAAACGACAGGTAAAAGCGCGGAGGAAGGATGGGACAGAGTTGGAGGTGGAACTGGGTGTGCAGGAAGTTACTCTTTTCTCGGGAAAGAAAGCCTTTTGTGGGTTCATCCGAGACATGACACAGCAAAGGAAAGACAAAAGGGCATTGCGAAAGCAGCAACAGCTCATTCATGGCAAATTCTTTGGAGGTGAGGAGTAGTGGCTGTTTGAAACAAAAAAGTTCAAGAGCATTCATACGCGGTGCATGCACATACAATCCCTCTCGAGGTGCAGGTGTTAGCTAGATGTTGTGCTAATGGTAGTGTAGAATTCTGTAAAGTCAGACCATCCCGACAAAAGACACAAAGGAGGATAGCATTCAATCACTTTGGTGCTGTTGCGAGAAGTTCTTTCACCACTGCGTCGGGTGGCAGCAATGTGTCCCTCCGCGATACCGCATTCAGTTCCATGACACCGGCTTCATTGAAATCCAAACGGTAGGCTTTGCCTTCGGCAAACCAGCCTTTCCGGTCCCATTCCTTGAGACGTTCCATATTGCGAATGATCTTTTGTTCCAGAGAGGCGGTATCGTTGTTTTCTGCAAGCGAATCAGCCATACGCGACAAGGGCACAGTTTGGACGCTGGTCAACACTCCCTTGCGATTCTTGCCCTTGCACAGCGTAAGGCTTCCACTTCCCACCATTTGAAAGAAGACTTTGGTTCCACCGTATCCTTGTTGTAAGAGTTTGACTTCGACGGGATGTTGTTGTGCTCCCGCGCTCGTTGTTGCGTCGGCTTCGGCTGTCATCAACACACGATACTGGCCAATCTGCATCACCTGAACATGTTCTGTGAACCCGACATTGTGGCGAGCACTCATGGGCTGCCCCGTCACCAGTCGTTCAAATTGAAAGCCCGGGACAGAGTAGTCCTGTCGGATTTTGCCGAGGTCGTAATGGACCATTATCATGTTGGTGCCCGGCACCTTGAGGACCAAGTATGGCACCATGTGGCGAATCTTTTTCTCTGCCGAGAGAACCTCCAATGCAGAGCATCCAAAGAAAAAGTCCAGTGTCTCCAAGTCAACTCGTGCTGAATGATTGGCAGCATGGTACAGGGACGCCACTCCAACCTGGCCGTACGGATACCTATGTGCCACAACTTGTCTCGGGAGGTTTGTACGAAAAGTAATGGGCACTGTAATGTTGGCAATAGAATCCACCAACGAGGGCGGGGCAGCAGTCTCCCCCGACACGGTGAAATTCCTGACTTGGCCCGCTGTGGCTTTGGACAATGATTTGTACCGATATGGAGCTCCCTTCCCTCGATTCCTTGGAGGAGGACGCCAACTGACAAAGCCGAGATCAGCAATGCACCGGAACGAAGAAAACCCGGCTCTATCGATGGCCTCTTGGAGTCCAATGGCTGGTGATAGAGGGTCCGTCGCCATCTTCTATCGAAAGAGCTTGGGGGATGGTGTGAACGGTATCTTGGCTTTCTCATGGTACCGGTCGGTAAAAATTCCAGGTTGAAAATTTCAGATGGGTACTGGTACCGGTACAGGTACCGGTACCGTACGGTACAGGGGTGTGCACCACGAGTGCTACCGGTATTTTGGAATACTGTAGGAGCCCTTTTGTTTCTTTCTGGCTGCATGCCTACCATTAGAAAGTGACTCCATCATACTAGCTAGCTTCTTTCAGAGAGTGGCCACCAGTGCGAGGATGGCATTAGTGCTAGATAGCTAGTAGTACGAGACATGGAAGCTCAGGTACAGCATCTAGTTACTACCGTACGCTCGCTAGTAATGTATTGTCACCAAGTCAATGGACACACCCTTGCTTCTCGTATGCATAGTCATTACTAACAACTAACTAAAAAATGTACACTTTGTACTCGTGCTCTCGTTCACTCTTTCGCACATTGGTTTTCACCGTCACCGGCCGCACTTTTGTGTTCCTCAATCTTTGTAGCAATACGGGCCCTAAAAGCTCAGCTGGTGTCCCAAACCCGTCTTTACTGCGTGGTGGCAAATTGTCGCGATCGAGTACCAAACTCAATGCCGATTCGACGACACACTGTGCCGTGACCATGTTGCCGGGATCTCCTTGGAACTCCATGTAAACATTGGCACACGAAACCTTGCCGGCTACCGACAGTGGTGCCTTGACTTCGGCATAGACTTCGGCATGCCCTTTGGCACACATTTCATCCGAAGCACCGGTTCCCGGCGGAGCAAACACTTTGAGTAGTAAATCACTGAGAATGGGTATTTGTAGGATCAATCCTCCCATGGCAATGGCAAACAGAATGATGAGACTGGGAATGGTGGAAAAGAGTCCAAATCCCAGTGTCAATTCGAATCCCAGTGGTAAGAATCGTTCGTAATACGAAATGTTGGGTCCATAATTCAATGCCAGGGCACTGGCATGAACCACTTTGGAATTGCACACGCCCATGAAAAAGGGAATGCTGACTCCTTGTTTGAAAATGGTATGTGGATACGGCAATAGATTCCACCATTCGGCCAATGCCATGCGATTTCGATCGTCTTGATGATCCGGATTGAATCGAACCGTTTCGGGATGCGTCAAGACGAGTGGATCAAATAGCATAAAGGGAACCGGACGCAGTGAATTGTTGTTGCTACTGTCCAAGAAACACCGGCCAATATCGGGTTGCATCTGATGCATGGTCGCCAAAGTTCCACCTCCGGCCATGCCAAACACGGAATGCCACGTTCGTGCCGTTTCTACTTGAGCGTCGGGTACTTTTGCGCGCAAGGCTTGCACAGCGGCAAAAATGGACAAGTCGCTGGGAACGGAATCAAATCCACACAGCGATATAATGCGGGCTCCGGATTTGGCGGCGGCCGTTCCGTACTTGACCCGCATGGCACCGACCCAATGGACTTCTCCGGTAATATCCGTGTAATCACAGCCAGTGTCGGCGCATGCCTTGACGACGCCACTCGAGTATTTTTCAAAAGGACCGGCACAGTTGATAATGGTGCGGGTGCGCGACGCCATGGTGTGTAGGGCGGGAGCGTCGGTACTTTCCGCCACAAAGATATCCAAGGAGATATTGTTATTGCTATTAGAAGTGTCAGTGTTGTTGTTGTCTTGAAGAATCTTTTGGAGTTTGGATTCGTTCCGTCCTGCCAATGTAATGGTGAGTTTGCGGGGAAGCGACGGGCCGACGTCCTTGAGATACATCAAGATATGACGAGCAACAAAGCTAGTCGCGCCGTAAATGGTAATGTCCGTCTCAATCTCAGACTCATTGGGCCGTCCTGTACTGGGAGTGGTTGTCGCCATGGCTACGGTAGCTAGCTAATACAGTGCTGTGGACTTCTTCTATTATGTTTGTATCTCTCTTGCCTTCTTTCTGTCCAAGCAAGTTTGTTTTGAGGGAAGAGAGAGAACCAAACGGGTTGGTTTGGGATCGCTGGATCTTTGGGGCTCTTCTTTCGCTGACACCGAAATTCTCAGTGACGTCATCAATTTTGGTCGTTTCACGCCATTTGTCATCTCGTCTCTCCCCTCCCATTGATCAAGCTGCCGCTTCACCCCCCCTTCAAAGGTCTTGAAGGTTATGATGAATGCTGCACATGCCACAGCTTCCGAAGACCTCCAAGACACCACGGAATCTGAGACTAAAAATCCCAATAAAAATGACAGCAGTGGCCCACAGAAGAAGGAAGAGGAAGGGGACCATCCAAAGTTGAGAAAGGAGCCAGAATCAATATCTGAGACGGATCCAGCAGACGCACTGGAATTGTGGCAAAAATGGGTCCCCATGGATCCAACACTCTACCAGTTTCTTCACACGGCTCAACTCGCCATGCTCCAGAAAATTCACGAACTATTTCAACAAGCAGATAATAATATTCCCTATTGGATTTGTGGAGGGACATTGATGGGGGCCATTCGACACGGCGGGCTCATCCCGCACGACGACGACGTCGATATCGAATGTTACCAGCACGATCTGGAACGTATTGCCCAACTACCCGTCGATGATTTTTATTCCGGATTCATTCCCCGAAAGGGAACTTGGAATGGTCATGTCGTGGCCAAACTCCTATTTTGGAATGGCATGTTGGAAGTCGATGTCTTTCCACGACCGTCACCCTTGCCAGAAGGAGATCGGCATTTTCCATCCCAACCAGAAGTATTTCCAAGGTCTCTCTACACATTTGACAGCAACAATCTCCTTCGGGTGTGGGGACCGAATCGAGAACAGTGCGGGGAGTACCTCGATCGATGTTATGGCCCGGATTGGAGGGACACGGTCTGCGTCTACAATCACGACTATAATTGGTATCACGGGGCGGGATTTGATCCTCGCAAACAAGTCCTATCTCTGACACGGTACAATGCCATTGTTCAACGAGCGGGGGTACTTTCATCACTGCTACAAATCGAATCGACGGCACAAGCCACAGTGGAACGAATGCTAGAGCAGCATGGCAGCTGGGAACACGTTCAAGAAAAGTACAATCAGTATAAACGACAACGAGTCTTTCGATGGAATAGGGCCGCCGCAGAGTATCGTGAGATGTTGCAAGAGCAGCGACAGAAAGAGCAACAACAACTAGCGCAAGACGAAGAGGAAGGAGTAGAATCAACATGACTGCTGATACTAGCCTAGCATCAGCAGCCAGGTTGATTCTACTCATTCCTCTTCTTGCGCTAGCTAGTAACAAGTTTGGCTTGAACATCACAATGAGATTTGATAATGTGAGCGTGCAAGCTGGCTAATGGTGAACTCATTGACTAGCTAGCTTGTAGGATAACTTATCAATTACGCATGGCGCAGCAGTACATTATCCTCAGTACGTCTTTGCTGAAATCGTGTGTCCTGGAGCCAAGGCAAGCCCGTGACCACACACATCCTCGCATATCCCGTGGTCCATCTCTAGTCCCCACACCTGTCCATCTGCAGGCCCTACCCATGGACCCACTCCGGGCCCAACACCGGGGCCTAACCCTGGACCAACTCCAGATGCCACATCAGGACCTACCCTGGTCCATCTCCTTTCCCGACAGCCGATCCGGCTCGAGACACAACACAAGGCCTAATAACCCCCGAATCAACCCTCATCTATTACTGGTACCATCTCCATGCCCATCTTCTGGATCCAACTTGGATCCAGACTACTACCAACCACTGGTCTGTCTCGAACCGAACAATTGGACCTACAATGAACCTACCAAAGGACCAGCAAAAGGTCCAATGGCAGACTCTACTCCTAGCTTAAACTGCAGGTGCTACCCTGGACCTGCAACTTGACCTACACCTTGACCGACTGCTACACATATATATGACATACATGGACTTCCTTTCAGGAGCCACTCACGAGCGAAAACCCAGCACAGTGCACAGCGAAAATCCTGCTCCAGGCTAAAGCAAGCTCTATTGCAACAGCTATTGCAAGTCGAACTCTCAGAGACGGACATTTTTGTTTGTGATGCGGAGGAGGGAGGTGCAAGCATTACTCAATAGTTCATACGCTGAATGATTGATTCAATCGTTCAATGTTCAATCTCAAGGTCTTCAAGAAGGAAGTGAGTGCATCAGGATCAAGTCCAGTGCGGCGCGTAGCCATGCTTGGTTTCGTACCTTGCGGGTCATCCGCCGAATGAATCAAGGGCTCTGCAAGTGCAACTACTAGCTAGCTACGCTAGCTAGATCAAGTCAAGTAGCCAAGCTGCTTTTCCGGAACAAAAACACACCCGTGATCAGCTTGCATGCCACCATTGAAACAAAGTACCATGCAACTGTTCCTGCAGTTTCCTTCGCCGAAACTATAGGCTGCTGTGACTTGCTTCCGGTATCTCTATCTACCTGTACCAGTAGATCCAGATCTAGCCCCCTTCAGTTTGCTGGTTATCATTGCGCTTGTTGCTTGCCACGGAGGCAGTGCTACTGGTAGCTAGCTAGTGGTCGACTCCTTCCGTGCTGATGTGTGATGCGTGACGTGTTCCGGAAGTTCCCTCCGATGCTTGGCCTGTTCCACTAACGACGCTGTGGGCCATGTATGTCACTTTTCTAAATCTATCTGTAGGCCTCTGCTTACCGACTAGGGTTCTGTCTTTTTCTGATTTTCGTCGGAGTGTCAAATTTGGAATGGCCAAGTAACCGTTGCTACTAGGTCATTGGCTCCAGCTGTCTAATTCTGTGACCCACTGTGAGGATTTGACTGGACGGCACCTGGAGATGTCGACGAACGGAACTGGCGCCCTCTAACTCCTTGCAGAGGAATTCAACTCGGAGTTTCCAAATTAGGGATAGGGGGTCTTGGGAGGCTCGATTTAAATTTGCTTCTCTGTAAAAGTGAGTACGAAAAGTCTATACTGGCTTTTGAGTTCCGCCTATTCAGTAGCCGGAGTGCGCGCACAGAGAGCGTTCCTTGTGGTGGTGCCGACACTTCAGTGGCCAGCAACACACATGCATGAGAGGATCCATTTCAACCGCTACAAAAGACCACATACATTTATCACAAAGCCTTGAAAGACGAACAACACACAAGTAAACTGCCAACAAAGCCCACTCCGCCTCTGTCACACCCTTCCGTCAACATCTCACAATACAACACATCTCTCTCACAGAATAGTTGAAACTTTATAACATAAAATGATGCACAATCACGAGAAAATGGACGAAGAGAAGACCTTTGAAGTGATTCAAGAAGACCGTCCTCGACAACAAACATCGTTTGCACCAGTGTCTCCTAGTTTGGTGAAGCGAGGGCTGACCGAAGTATCTGCCATGTTTGACCGCAATGGAAAGGGATACCTGGATGAAACAGAGCGTGCGTTGCGCCGAATGGACTCACAAGACAAAGGCTACTTGGGGATCGACAAGGTCTGCGTCATCTTTGAATCATTGCAGTCTGAACAAGAGCGCTCCTCACAGTTGCTTGAAGCCCTTCGAACGGAGAGCAAAAAGTCGTTGAACCTCAAGATGGGAGTCATCGCTTTGACCGTCTTCTCCGTCTTGCTCGCCTTGGCCAACATTGGAACCTCCTTTGCCGTCGCCACTCTTGTCAAGGACATGAAGGTCGACACCTCGGGTGACCTCCTCACCAAGGACTCCAACGTGCGCGTTGGTACAACCGCCAAAGTGGTTTCATTCGAAATCGACGCAATCGATGATACACGAAGACGTCGACTGCAAACGGCCGCTGGTTTGGTTTGCAACACCATGGTCGACACAGATCCTGTGACAGGTCTCACGGACAAGTCCTGTCAGCTTCAAGGGACTATCAAGAACACCGTTGCCGATTCTCTTCACGGTGAACTCAAGGTTGTCGACCATGTCCAACTAACTTGTAATTCAAAGAGGAGCCAACTGTTTGGAACTTACAAGCTCCCAGCTGGTAACCCCGGTGATTTCGATATGGGTGGAGTCCCATATGTTATCTACCCTACAAGCGTCACTCCAGATGACAAGTACCAAGCAATCCAGAGCGTCCTTGTACCCCATCAGCCTGCTGTGCCTGCCACTCCTGCCCAGAACGGCTTCCCAGCCATCCCTGCACAGGCTGCTGTCCCCGAACACAACTGCGACGCCTACTTCTCACTGGCCTTCTATTGCATGAAGGACCTTGTCAATGGCGTGGAACCGGATTGTTTGGTCATGTCAGCCTTTCAGCCTACTGAAGCTTGCAAGACTTCACCTGTTGTCTGCGGGCCTCCTCCAGCAACCAACAATGGAGTCATCTCAACCTAAGCGATCGATCGAACACCCACCACCAGCGACTCAGACACACTAAGTCGTTTTGATAAAACCGACCCTACTACTTTAACTACCTACTACCATATTGGTACATCCAGAGCCGTTCTGGTCTGCCTTTTCTTCCCTCCGAGCACGCGGCATGATTCTTCTTGCAAACGAGACTTCCTTCTGCTGTCCCACGCCGCTTTGATGCCAGAGGATGGATGTCAAACTCACCCTTACTACTACTTTTTCACATCCCACTTTTAAAGATATTTAAATCACTGTTGCTTTAAAATCTATCGTACCAGTACCTGATTAGTTCTCATCAGTGGTGGTTCGGTAGCCTGGAGCTAAAAGACCCTGAAAGCCATCTACTGTACAGCACTCCTGGATGCGGCAGATGTACACGTACAAGCATGAAGCTAAATATCTAGACCAAGACCAGAAGAGGAACCCCAACAGTTGGCATGGAACCCATGTCGATATTAATAGCTCATTGTCGCCGGTACCTGTCCGCTTTGCTTCTTTGGTCTTTCAACCATTGCCAATGGATTGATGCATTTAAACCAATCCCGTTGCGTCCCCAACTTTGGCGACCATGACGCTCAGAGAATCTTCGCGGATAGTGGTACCGGTACCGGTACCGTACGTTGCAGCGCACCTCGGGGACCGTAGGATCTGGAAGGAAAGATACGTTCTAGCTAGCTAGCTAGAGTAACAAGCTAACCAATTCCCACAGCTATGAGCCAATGAGCTATTTCTCCCTCCAGGTAGCCAGCAAGCTAGCTAGGAGCTCGTAGCGCCAGGTAGCCTAGCCCAGACTCGGAAACGGAGTTGCCCTGTCCCTTTGCCAACGCCATGGCTGCCAGCCAAGCACCTAACGGCATTGAAGCCTGATGATGCGCGAGCAAACCGGTTTGGATTACCTTTGCCGCAGCTAAGCGTAAAAGCAGCTCCGTATCTACCGGTACAGCATCGCATCATCAACAAATAATGGGCTAAGTAAGAGGAGAGACCGGCCGAAAGAGAGCTGCGGGCCCTACCATGAATAGAACCACCAAGGCTGAGACTGAAGGTGTGCTCATCAGTTTGGGCCCAACTAGCGTGCTTCATGGTGGAGGGATCCCGTGGTCCTCCATCTGAATGTCGAACGCACTCATCACACGGGCCAGAAGTTTATAGTCAAGCTACGTGCAATGCTAGCTATCATAGGTATGGTACTGCAGGCCCACTGGCTAACTACTGCGCTAGTACGGTAGCTTGGTGTAGATTGCAGCCTGAGGCACCACAGCCAGCAGATGCACCTACACGGCACTCGCCGCCCCCAGTGCGAATGCCGCTGCTCCCTCCGCCTCCATCGTTGTTCTTGTGTCGGCGACGCAATGAAACGGATGACATGAATCTTATCAGCTCTGGACTGCAAGCACAAGGACCTCACCCTGAAGTCCAGCTGGCCATACTCTTCCCGAATTATTGTTTCACGATGCGCTGACACCCAGAGTTCTCTCGGCGATCCCTCTTTCAAACCGCTGCGAAGATGTCGCCGTTTCCTACAACGCAGATTGTCACTCCTACAAGCAAAGACGAGCCTGAGAGTTGTAATTGTTTTGCGCTCTTTATCTTTAGTTATTTTTACGTGCATTCTCGTCTCAAAACTTGGGATCTTTCACTGGTTGGTATTCGTCGTCGAATCCTTCTTCTTTCATTATTACTATTGTTGTGTCACTTTCCACAATACCGACTTTGCAGTTTCGTAGGTAGTCCACGAAATGGCGACCGCCGGTGTATGAGACATGACTCTCGGTACCAGTCCACGGAACAATCCAATGGCCCCTTCTTGTTTCAGAATGTGTTGCAATGCTTGGTATCCCGTCCGAACGACTCGTTCTTCGGATGCCACATTAATTTTCTGCGGACAATGGGCCGGTGGTGTCGGCCAACACGCCGGTGCCATTTGTTGTGTTTGCAACAATGTCTTGATCCGATCGAGGGGTGTCGTGGCCGCCGATGCCACAAAGCCCGCCGCGGCGGATGCCATGAGCGTGGTGGAGAGTGTTAGCGGTTGATGATTGTTGTCGGTCCACATTTGTTTGAGTGTTTCATTGGTGGAGACCATGATCATTCCATAAGGCAAATTGGCAAAGAGGGTAATGGGGAAACTTCGGTACAATGCTACCATGCCTTCCTTTTGTACCATTTGCTGTAGAGCAAACGACATGCTACCTCGGTAATGTCCTATTTGGAGACGTTGTTTGACGGTATCCAATGGAGCCATGATCATGTCATGTCCCAGTGTTGCCGTGGCTCCCGCCATCATACCACCGTACCATGCCAATTCGGCATTGCCGTTATTGGTGAAGAACGCCTTGACCATTTCGTAGGACGAAAAGTAAATGGCATGGGCCGGCACGCATCCAATCATGACGGTCTGGACTCCTCTCCACAGTCGCATAATGCCTTCCGGCTTGGGTGGCTCGGCCGTAGTAGTGGTTGCGGCGTCTGCCAAGACGGCTGGTTCACTCATAAGAAATCGCATCGTTTGCCACATGCCCTGCGGCAGTGTGTGGCTTTTCCCTTGTTGTGGCGGCAGCGGCATTCGTCCACGCATTTGCGAGGAAGGATGATGCATGGCCGTGGCGGTCGACTTGACGACTTGCTGTTGTTGATACGAAGGCGAGAACTTGCAATTGGCACAAACCTGAATGTGGGTTCGAACGGTATCCAATGGATAAACTAGGGTATGCTCTGCCAGACCGGCAGTGCTACCCGCCACACAGTGATGCCAAAAGGGAGACTTGCCGTCCCACTCTTCCCAATCTTCGTCAATGTCCGACATGATGATAGTGGATTCTGAAGATAGTGTCCTGTTGCTGGATGGTTTCTTTCCGAGGGTAGAATTGCTAAATGGGTCAGTATCGGATTTTTTTATGATACTAGATACCTGGCCTCGTGACTTGGATAATCGAATTGGTTGTAGCAATCAAAGGACTGAGGTGGCAGAACGCAATAGCCTTGTCTTGTTGCACTTGTTGTTGTCTTTTTCGTCGTTTGTTTGCTTATTGTTGCGCTTTGTTTATAGTCGGCTGATCGGAATTATATCACTGGACCACGATCGGAAGGCTGTTGGCGGATGACTTTACTCCGAACTGATAGATGATTCGATTCGTAAAGAGAGGGCCTGAATTGGGTTGCTATCTTGGGCTCTTGTGCTTTGGCGTGATAGAACGTTCTCGTCGTCCTTTCTTTGGGCCGGGTTTCAATTGCTGGAGAGACAACAAATGAGATCCAACAAATGCAAGGGAGGGAGCTTTCGGCACCAGAGGGATCGAGGAATGGAGGGTATTCTCATCATCGATTGGTCTGTACTGCCGTCCGTAGGATTCGCAAAACAATGCAGTTGTGGGACAGCCATTGTAAAATGTAAAACCTGCCTGTGAAAATGTACCTACTTCTTGTCAAATTCATGTTTAAACAAAGGCTATAGATCTTTTCAGTGGAACCTCCGAGGGTTAGACGCATTGAGAGATTTTGAGAGGCCCAGCTTGGTGATGGGAGTCACACAACCAACCCGCCTTGCCCGCACTGATTGTTCTGACATGTCCTTCGTTCTGCCGACCGCATCAAGAGCAAAACGAATGGACGATGGTCTTTTCCGTGGCACCAATCCCAGGCAGGGTTGGTTGCAATCACTAATAGTAGGGCACGTTCGTGGCCGTGGTCCGAGACGGAACACCACTGCCACCGTAGATATTTCATGCATGGTAGAGTGGCGGGATAGGCACATGTCTGCTGCTTGGCCTCTTTGCTTTACGGCGCGGAAAAGAGAGTCATTGGAACCATTCTACATCCTCTTCAACGCACGCTGAGGGAACTCTGGTCACTGCTAAGTCTACGTAGTGCAGCTTGCCCCGTTCCTCGAAAAACGAACTGGCAGTGGCTGCGACGAAAGCAACGCAGCCACGATAGTCATGTTCCAACCCTTTTTAGTATACTCCGGGCTTCTCGTCTATCTCTCAAGCATGGTGTCTGTTCTATACTGTTTGCTCCTAGTTTCTCTCCTGTAGAGAAATCCAATGATGCGGTGTATCGTGGGGCAGCTGGTCATCAATATCGGTAGCTAGCTGCAGGTAGTCCGTCTATCTAGTAGAGTCTCGAGTTAGGTAAGTGGATGCATCGTCCCCTCGACAGGCTGTTCGGCAAAGAACCCCTGGTTGGTACTTCCAGAAGGCTACGCTTTCGCCTTTGGCTGTCGTAGTCATTTGCTTCTATCTGCCAAGTTTCCAGCTTCGTCCAGTAGTGATCCATACCTGCCCACACCGGTACAGCCCGAGAATGCATTTGCTTCTTTAGCCGGCTGTTGACGAACTGGCTGAGCAGGCGTGAACAAAAGAAAGATCGTACTGGTATCGCTGATCACATCTCTCTCGCACACTCATGAGGCCACTACGGTAGCTAGTGCACAAGAAGACTTGCTGCGTTGTTATGAACCCAAAAATAGTCACCATTTTGGAACTGTGTTGTGGTTCCAATCCTAGAAAGTCTTCGCACCTCCGCCATCAGTGCGGTCATCGTCGATCTCGAGGAGTGTAGACAGCCGCTCACTACTCATCCCATAACCAGACCAACTTCAGGACATATTCCTGGACCAAATGAATCCAGGGTCTACATGTAATCCCGGACCCATCCCTGGTCCATCGTCAGGCCGCAGTCTACCACTCCTGGACCAACACTTGGACCAACTCCAGGACTGCACTACACTAGGACCAACTCCAGGAACTACCGGTACCCATGCTCAATCTCTAAGCCCCACTCTTTTCCCATCTCCAGCCTCCACACCTGGACCCATTAATGCCCCACTCACTCAGAGGCCCCACTCCGGACTCCGGACCACTGTCTCCAGTTTCTCCTAGCTAGCTAGACCCTACTGATACCACCTCGTACATCGTAACACCGCCGGACCTTGGAGGAGGTGCTACCCAAACTGTTGACGCGAGCATTAAATACCGTGTATCTTTTAAGTCCAAATTTTCAATCTCTCTAAGTAAAATTGTCAAGAGAGTTCTCATTTATATTGTTGCCAGATGCTGCCAAGCGCTCACATTTTGGCTCTGGATCCATGTTTTGCATGAAAGTCTGGTTCAGGTTGTTGTACAACTGAGCCAATCCCAAAGTCGACTTCTATCGGTAGTCTTTCTTGGTGTGCAAGCTGCAAGCCACTCTGATCACCTCTTACGAAGCTTCGAGCAGTTCGCATTGGAATGCACACCAGACCTGGCATCCTTTGGAAACCCTTGATACCTTCCAATTCAATCTCCCTCGCATAAACTTGACATCAGCGTGGAGAGCGCGCAAACCCCCTTCCTTCAACTCTTTTGTCTGCATCCTTTTCAGTCGACAATGTCTTCTTTATTTTCTCGGCGCTTGCTATCGCTCTCCTTGCTGACAGTGTTGGCGCCCGTGGGAAACGCAGAAGAACTACATGCCACCAACACTGACCCAGAACTGCAGCAACCGCCACCTGCTGCCAGCTACGGCGTGGACTGTTCCTTTCCCATTCATAGCGACTATGAAGCCAACAGCTGTGGCGATTTGCTGGGTGACCGACAAAAGTTCTATGAAGACTTGATTGCAGGATGCCGAGCAAAGTACGCATACCGATGTGATCAGACGGAAGAAGATCGAATCCTTCAACTGCGTCATCAACCACAATCTCTTCTCAACTACACAACCCATGGCTTTGCCAAGATTCGAGCTCCCGAGCGATTGTTCCGTATTTTGAAGAATCACTGGGAACGCAACAAGGACAAACAAGGCTACGAGGAAAAGTGGCCCAAGGGACACACCTATGTGAATCATTGGGAACACAAAACCACTTACTACAACTTGGGCGAGCCCGAATTGGGTGGGGGGTTGGATCTGGCAGAACTCGTCTCGGATCTGGCACAGCCGATTATCGAAGAATGGACTGGTCAAGAGCTCCGACCTACCAGCTTGTATGGCATCCGAGTCTACCACAAGGGATCCATCTTGGCCCCTCACGTGGACCGAAACCCATTGATTAGTTCGGCCATTGTGAATGTTGCCAGTGATCCGGATATGGAAGAAGATTGGCCTCTGGAAGTCTATGGTTCGTCCTGACAAGCAATTCTTAGTATCCCAAGCTGATTTTGCAAAGTTCGATCTCATTCCCTCACCACGTTTGTCTTTGGTGCACTGTTCAGATCGCGACGGCAAGGCTGTGAACATTTCAATGAGCCCCGGTGATATGGTTCTATACGAGAGTGGTACTGTGATTCATGGCGTAAGTCTGTTACCACGGAAGGAGTAAGCAAACAGTTTCCGTTTCAATGCTCACCCCGCCGTTCCATCTTGAAACCACACACGCATCAATCAACGCATCATTCACTTGCATCAATCCACTTTCCAGCGACCATTTCCCCTAAAAGGAAAGTACTATGCAAACACCTTTATCCATTTCGAGCCAACCGGACGAACACTAGAGGACGTTGACGAAGAGGATAATTACTACGATTCTCCTGAGAACCCTGCTGCATACGAGGGTGATGTTCGACTTCCACCTTACATGATCGCGGGATCAGAAGCAGCCACGCGATACTCCATAAGCAATCATTGGGGTTGGGAACTAGACGGGTCGCAATTTGAAGAAGAATTTGACGACTCTGAAGAGGATGATGAGGACTCGGAAGATGAAGACGAAGATGAAAGCATGGAAGAGGAGAGTATGATAGAACGAAAGGAGGCTGCTCACGATTCAAGTAGTCCTAGTTGCCTGAGCAACACGGACCCTGCATTGGCACCCGCAGAGTGTCAATCAGAGTTAGAATCGTCGATGAAAACAGCAACAGCGTAGAGGGCACAACGCTACCAGTACGTATCCGGACAAGATCCTGCAGGACGTCGCTGTTCGGACGGCAACGAAGGATCTGTTCAAAGGAAGCCTAACAGACAAACCGTTCAATCCACAACACTATCGATACACACAGTTCTACATAACTCGTACAATAGAAAACGATTCATTCCGTGAAGGGTCATCGGGATGATCACAAGGTGCAGAGGCTCCATGCTTCAAATTCAGTAGAACTGTCTCGTTTGAGGTAAGCCGAAGGCAAACAATTTGCATTTTACGTACATCGAGAATGATAAGGACAAAGTGGCCGGCTACTCCATATGAATGTGCGGGTGGGCTGGTCTTTTCAACCCCCCCCCCCCCCTCCAAGGGCCACATCATGGCACTGCAATGGCATGAAGCCATGTGTCACGTCAACAAATGGCCGTGGTGTCGTCTTGTACACACATTCAAGATACCACGTTGTCCATAAAGAGTCTTCCTGATTGTCGTGCAAGGATATCCGATGGGCTACCGGTACATGTACTCTACTATTGCTGGCTAGGTCGAGTATCGTTGGCCGCCCGTGCCAGTTGAAGGATCATCAATTGTCAACGCACCTTAGTTTTTCCTGACTAGCTGTGGCTCGCCTCTATGTTTTCCCTTATTTCTGCTTTTTTTGTTTCAAGGCAGCTTTTTTCTCGCCACAGCCGCATTTTTTCATTATTTTTCTACTCCACCGATTGTGATCAGTAGACTACTCCATCCCTTCTCACACCTTCTTATTGGAACTGTCACCATGAGCACCGGCATCTGCGTCCGTGATGGTATGCTGTACATCAAACACAGCAGCTGGAAACAAGTTACGTTGCTGCAAACAACCAAAATGCTGCGGCAAATTGAGACAACCGAGTCCATCAGAGAACTTCGGCTTGATTCCAAGCAGTGGTACGACGGAGTCTCCAAACAAGATTTCATCTATGCCATATCCATTGTCCAGTCGTTTGAGCGAAATCCATGTATTACTAAGCTGAAGTCGAGATGCAGCTGAACTCGATTCAAAAGTGCCAAAAGGAATTTATCGATTTTCTGGACTACGCGTCCAAGGCTATCACTCACTTTTCCATATCTACGATGCGTACATCACAAGACAACTGGCCTTTAGATATCACTATTGACACTATTGTCAAATCTATTGTGTCTTTGCCAAATCTTGAGAACCTAAGCCTGGATTGCCAATATCCAAATTTTTATGGAGCATTTCTCAGTGCAGTTGAAACATCCGGCTTTCATCCAAAGGAATTGAAAATTCGGCTCTCATGCCCGAGTCTTTGTTCCAAAGCTATCGCTTTTTTGTCATCCACTGCACTGATGCACACAAAGATTGGCCTTCACTACTCTTTTGCTTGGCGCGTGTCGGAATCTGATCTGGTAAAGGCGTCCATGCACTTGTCAATGCTATTGGCTGCCCTGAGACCAGCCAGTCAAGTCCAAGAGCTACGGATTGCCTATTGTCCCCAAGAAATTAAGAAGCAGTGTGGTGAAAGCTTGAGAATGTTCCTTTGTGACAATGAATTCTTGGAAACTCTATCACTTTCTGGCGACTTTTCCTCCAATGTCATCACTGAACTGGTCACCGGTCTGAACCAGAATAGGTCTGTGAAGCAGTTTATCTTTGCATCACACAGGTCAAACGATCTTTCACAAATCATTGGAGCATTGACGGAGCCATCATCACAAGGCCCTTGTGTTCAAGAATTTCAGTTGACATGTCACGACGATCCAAAAGAAAGCCAAGTAAATCATTGGGCACCTCGCCGTTTGGTAACAAGTCCATCGTGCAACCTGCGGAAACTAAAGCTTCGCGGTTTCAATGCTAGCCACATGGTCCCAGTACTGAGAGCCTTGCCGTGCTGTCATCCAAAGTTGGAGTCTTTGGAAATCGAGGATACTGTTGTACAGGGCGACAATCCATTGCAGGTCATGGATGCTTTCATCTCCGTCCTTCCAAAGAGCGGAAACTTTCCCAATTTGAAACAGTTGGTCATATCGGAGGCAGTCGAGGACCTTGACTTTGAAGACGAGCCTAATGATGCCCTTGATGTTGCACTATTGGAGAAATGGAAGGAGCTGAAGCCAAAACTCCTCCAGTCCCTGAAAAACAACAATATCCACTTGGAACAAGTAGAGCTTGCTGCTATCGATTCTGCTGGATCAACTGAGGACGAGTCGTTTGAAAGGGACCTGAAGAGCGTTTGTACTCGCAACAAGGCAGCCAAGCTTGCCACGGCATTGACAACCGGAACACTTCCGTGGTCGTCGTTTCCAGAGATCGTGGAGACGATCATGAAAGACAGCACCGAGGAAGACTTGACAAACGGAACACTGGAATTGGTTTGGATAGAACACCTCCAGACCGTTCTCATTCCCTTCCTTACACGCCACGGAGGTGGCCGTATCGTTTGAACAACAAGGAGCGCAGAAAGTGAATGCAAGAACTCGTCTGCTATAGAGCAACGAGCCGACCACGACACTCAGTGAACAATTGGGAGAACACCAGCAGGGAAAGAAAACCAAGCCTATTCGAAATCAACTGGCTGTACAACAATCATACATGTAGTAAATGAAACGTAGTAGATGAAACATCCAACTAATATACTCCAGTTAGCCATGATCGACTGAGCACGAGTAGCATCTTGACTCGATCCCATCGATCCACATCAACTCCACGAAGTTGGGGATGAAAGACATTGTAGTTGATTGGATCGGATTCCAGTTTGGACAAGTAATGCAGTGCCGGAACCATGGGCAACAGACAGGAACGTCCTGCTTTTGGGATTTGACCCTGTAATGACTGCGCCTTTATCAAATGGCCCGATGCCAGCATTGCCATTTGTTGGACAGCCTCGTCCCAGTCCAGTTTGTCGCGTTCATCCGGCCAGGTCGTCTCCTCTGGATAGTCGGCCAAATCTTGCAGGATGCTGTAGGGAAAGGTAGCCGGCAACAATTCGACAGGGATTGGGATTTCCCCCATCACTACCCGCACGGGTGCAGCTCGTAGATTGACCAAGACGCCCATGCCCACTCCGGCATGAGATGCCACAATATCGGCGTCGTCATTGCGAATTCCCAAACATTCCAGGGTCAGATAGAGTCGACTACTGACCGATTCCTCTGCATACCGCGTGACTTCTTGCATTGTATTCCACTGCACCACATCCACATCGGCTTCTCTGGCTTCGATCAGGCGTTCCAAAAACCTCCGCGTCAGTTCCTTGTCATGGATTGCCCGTGCCAACGAGGCAGCCACCGGGTCCGCCGCAAACGAAGACAAGGATGTTGCTGCTTGCTCCAAAGTGCTACTGCCCGTGTAGACTGCATCGAGGAGATCTTTCCATCGTTGAAATTTGAGCTGAACTGCCAATGTGCTATTATCTGCCCCACCTCGGAGCCTCGCACTCCCTTGCTTGACAGAAGCCAATTCCACGTTGAATGCCAAGAGAGCAAAGTATTCTTGTTGCACCTTTTTGGGCATTAACAATCCGCATACTGAAATAAATTGTATATTGTGTGGTTTTGAATATTATGTTCAGGAGTGTCAAGTCAGAAGAGTATTGCAGGTTGTCGTGTGGTTGTGGTATGTCGAAGAAGGGTATAATAAAGTAGAAAAGGCTGGGTGAGTTATGTCTCGCCATCCTTCGAATTGCAGGATATTCCCAATCAACCGTAGATATAGAGTCTCTTGATCGTATCCCTGCATTCTGTGAATGGAACTTACAGTATCCTTCCCTGTCTCTGTCTCTCACCAAGTCTACACAGTAATTGTGATCTAGTCGAATTCGTTCCTTGGTAGCAGCCATTGGATTTTGATCATTATTCTGTCCAGCACTGGACTGCATCCATCGTTTCGCCATTATTTGTGTTCGAAAGGCATATCCATGAGATCTTCCCACGATGCTAGTGTTGTTGGCTCGAGAAGAGATCAGCGTCTTCCTCACATGATGGGTAGTTCTTGGCAGCAGAGGAACATGATGCAGGGCAAGAACTCCAGATCTCGTCAGCGGATGCACCATTGCTCCTTGGTTCAGGTTCGGTTGATCAATGCTTACAGTAGTTTAACTAGCTACTAGGCAGCAAGGAGGCTCCCAATAACGTCAACGCAGATACAAGCAACCAAGAAGGTCAATGGCAGTACCATACATGCAGATTGGTCTCGGGTCCATTCATGGCCTAGTGACTCATCGACGCCGAAGATCCAATTCGGAAATCTAGACTAATCGAATCTTTTGTGTATCTTTAGGTGAGCTAGCAGAGCTGGTGTTTGCGAACCCCCGATACTCCGCGAAGGGTTCGCTTCCTCTAAAACCCAAGCCGAAGAGGCGGCGTGACTGGACTCTTTGCGATCAGCCAAGACCAGCTCCTCTGCAAGCAAAGGACCCACCAAAACCAATCACAACGATGCCGAGATCCCAGCGTTCTCAATGACACCCTTTTTCCTTCCTTTCCTCGGAAGCCAACAACCTTGACGCTTCGCTTTGACATGCTTGAATCCTCATCAGAAGCGCCACTAGTAGTATCATAATGTCTCACTAACTCATAATAAACCCTCCTACAGCATCACTACAATAATAAGGATCCTGTAACAAAGAAAAATCTCCCAAAAAGAATTCTTTTCCACCATGTGGCAACGTCAAGTCATCCGCAACAGTCGCTCCCTCCAGACTCGTCTGGCAGCGAAAGCCCGTTGCTTTAGCAGCACCAGTTCTACTCTCCAACAATTCGACACTCCAGATGGAAAACCATTCCGTGTCATGGTCGCCAACAGAGGCGAAATTGTCCAACGAATCCAACGAACGTGCACTCAATATCCCGACCTTTTCGAAACCGTTGTGGTCCATTCCACGGCCGATGCCATGGCGCCCTTTGTCGCCGAGGCTTCTGGATCCGTCAAACCCGTCTGCATTGGTCCCGCCGCGGCCAGTCAATCTTATTTGAATGTAGATAAAATTCTGCAAACCATCGAACAGACGGGTAGTCACATGGTCCACCCCGGATACGGCTTTTTGAGCGAAAATGCCGATTTTGCCAAAACCATTACCAACGCTGGAGTCGTCTGGTTGGGACCTCCTCCTCATGCCGTACAAGAAATGGGAGATAAATTACGAAGCAAAGAAGTCGCCGTCGATGCTGGTGTCACGGTCGTACCGGGATATGAAGGTGTCTTGGAAAGTGTCGATCAAGCTCTGGAAGTCGTCAAGGATATTGGATATCCCGTCCTTCTAAAGGCGGCTGCTGGAGGTGGTGGTAAAGGAATGCGAATCTGCCACAATGATCAAGATCTCAAGGAAGCATACGGAATGGCAAAGTCCGAAGCCAAGTCATTCTTCAGTGATGACAGGCTCTTGATTGAAAAGTACATTGTCAACCCTCACCATATTGAATTCCAAGTCCTTTGCTCACGCAATCCGACCACCAACGAAATTGATGTCGTCGTTTTCCCCGAACGAGAATGCTCCATTCAACGTCGAAACCAAAAGGTCATTGAAGAATCTCCTTCCGTATTGTTGACGGAAGAATCGCGCCAAAAAATGGTGGCTCAAGTCAGACAGTTGTGCAAGACCGTCGGATACGAGAGTGCCGGAACCATTGAGTTCCTGGTCGAAGCTCCACCCGGTGGCGAACAGAGCTTTTACTTTTTGGAAATGAACACTCGATTGCAAGTCGAGCACCCCATTTCGGAGGCTGTTTGCGGTGTGGACCTCGTCAAGGGAATGCTCTGGATTGGAGCTGGATGGGGATTGCCCGAAGAGTTCCATACCAACGAACCCATTCTCCCCTACAAGGGACATGCCATTGAAGCCCGTATCTACGCCGAAGATCCGCTCCGTGGGTTCTTGCCATCCACGGGCCCTCTTCGCCCCTATGTGGAACCCGTCGACACGTTCAAGGCAAATCCAACTGCCCCCGAGTACACTCGCATGGACTCTGGAGTGGCCAATGGACATGTCGTGACGCCATTCTACGATCCCATGTTGTCCAAGACCATTTATTATGCTGCTGACCGCCCTACAGCCGTTGAGGGTTTGGCCACTGCCCTGGACCAGTACATTATTGAAGGTGTGCAACACAATGCTCGCCTCGTCAATGCCGTCTTGAGGCACCCCGAATTCATGGCTGGAAACACACCCACAAGCTTTCTGGAAACTCACTTCCCGGATGGATTCCAAGGCGTACAACTCTCATTGGCCAAAGAAGAGGAAATGGCGGTGGGAGTCGCCATGATTGAGTCCTTCAAGAATGAACTCACCATGTCCAAACCGGGAGAACCTCTCATGGTTCAGTTGGGAGGCATGTTTGGAAAGGCCTTCAAGGTAACTCTCGGGGAAGAAACCGCCACAGTGCAGTACATCACCAAGACTCCCGAGGAGGAAGAGAATGGAGCTGTGCGTACGGTCAGTTTGAGCCAAATGGGCAAGGAGGGAGCCACAGTGGATTATCAACCACGCAAGTATTTGGCCGAGGTTTCGCTAGACAATACTCCAAGGTTCATCCAGGTACGTACATGTAGTTTCTCACGAAAACACAAGAAACACAAGTGGTGTTTTCTCACAAAATCGTTTTCTCTTTGATCTCACAGGTAGTGAGCAAGGAGGCAACAGGAGAACTCAACGTGCAAATGTATGGCGCCAACATGCCAGTTCTGATTGAGACGGAACGGGAATATGAACTCTCTTCTCACATGCATGAACCCGTCAAGCAGGACACTACGGATATCGTTCCCAGTCCCATGCCTGGAACTGTGATGAGCTATGCCGTTCAGGAAGGAGATCTCGTTGAGGACGGACAAGAGCTTTGCATTGTCGAGGCAATGAAGATGCAAAACATTATCCGTAGTCATCGCAAGGGAGTCGTGGAAGCCCTGCTCGTGAAGACTGGCTCGTCGGTGGCAGCTGACGAAGTGATCATCAAGCTCGTGCCTGAAACCGATGACGAAGAAGACGATGCACCCGCAAAGGCAGCTTAGAGCAGTGTTTTTGGAACAACGTTAGACTTTTTACGCAGGATAAAACTATAGTTTGCATAGAATATGGATGGAATGCCCCTTCATAGCCAGCCAGTTAGTTTTGGAAGTACCGTACTGATGTGTCAACTCTTCTGGTGGGGGGCGCAGGATCCGAAAACTCTGGCTTCAAGCCGATTTATTCAATCCTTGATCCCGCGTATGACGCCTGGACATATTGGCAGGTACCTGGCACAGTATGGTGCTGTTGTCGACCCTATTGAGATCTAATTTCTATCAGTGCCACAGTCAGGAACGACGCCAAGGCAACCATGGCGGCTTGACCCCATGCCTTGTTGGCAGATGATAAGACCTGCTGTTCGAAATAAAAGGAATTGTCCAGTTCTTGTTGGGTCATGTTGGTGGACTCGAGGTGTAGCACGCAGAAGAACTCATTCTCTCCGTCTTCCACGACACTTCCAAGCCAGACACAGCCCGTGTCACGAAGGCAGTTAGTTCGGTCCTTCTGTCGAAAGCAAATGTTGTTGTCATCATGAAGCTCCTCTGCCACCAAGCATATTTCTTCTCGATCGGTGTTAGAAGAGCCGAACATTCGAGGAAAGTAGCAGTCGACGTCGGGAAAACCATCACACGAAGTCATGCAGTGCCTTTTCTTTTGACTCCAAACACAGTCTGCATCCGACACCAAGCACTCTTCACAGGCTGACGATTCACAAACAGCGTCTGTCATTTGACATGATACACTCTTCAACCAAAGAAATCCAAATACGACACATATTTCTAGGACAAGTTTGAGGGCGGTCATATCGTTAACTTGATACAGTACTCTTTACAAAATGGCGTTGCTTGCCTGAAGGCCTGAAGGAATGAGCAATGAGGCAATTCCGTCCAGTCCAAGTGATCACTCCAGCTGTCCCACTTTTGTGTGAGAAGATGCAGGTCGTCCTACTCGATTGGAACAACCCGAGCTGTAAAAACACATTGGTGCAAATGAGTGACAGGAGAGGGACAGATATTACGGTGCCTTCTTTGTTCAAGTGGTACTGTACCGTGCTGGAGCGTGGCCTGGATTGGGTCCTGCTCTCAATGTCAGACTGTGCAGTTGAGCCAATAGCTAGTAGTGCAGTGGTAAGTCGAGGAGTAAGATGAGCCGTATCGCAGACTGGGCCCGTGGCCCGGTTGCAAGCGGTAGATCAAGGAGTTGGGTTGGATAGACAAGGGGGCTGGTTCCTGTGTTGGGCCTGGTGAGATTCGGGAGTAGCTAGGTCCTGGTTTGGGTCCAGAAGTTTGTTGGCCCAGGATCTTATAGCTAGCTAGAGTTTTGGATTACCAAGAGCTCACCTGACCTCAAGATGCAATAGTATAGCTGTGGCTAATAATACTTCCTCCTTAGTGTATCTCAAATTCAAAAATGCAACAATTGTTCCCCCAACCCAAAACTCTACAGCAGATAAGCTGCATTCATGCTGCACCTTCGCTTGGGATTAGCGCTGGCAGCCGAGGTCACAGATGGTCTCTTGTGATGATTTCGATTCACAGTTGACATGGGCTTGTTGCAGGCGGCAGCGGCGGCAATCAAGGTATCCATGTCTTGTTGCGAAACGGATACCGTCTTCTGTGGCCTGCTTTCCTTGCTCGGGAACGACAGATCATGGTCAATGATCTCTTCCAGGCGGGAGCATACAGACTTCATGGTAGGGCGATTCTTGATCTCTTGCGACCAACCTTCGCAAATCAGTTCTTGGATGCAAGCTGGCACTTGACTGTCCTTGGGAAACTCTGGTCGTTCGCCTCCTTGACAGACATATCGCCTGTGCATAGCTTGGTTATTGCATATGTTGGCGTAAGGTACCTCCAAAGTCATCATCTCAAAAACAACAACGGCCCAACTGTAGACATCTGACTTCAGACCGTAAAAGCCAGTGTTGACCTGCTCAACAGACATGTACCTCAGTGTTCCGGCCATGGACATACGGAAGATTTGATCTTCATCCTTAGCTTCAAAGTACAGGGACTGTGGCAGTTCACGGCACAGGCCAAAGTCGAAAAGCTGGACCTGGTCAACGCCGTTGAGTCCCCTCTTGAACCCTGTGTTGGCGGGCTTGAAGTCACGTACAATGAGGCGCCTCTGGTGTAGGTAGTCAATAGCATCGGCCATTTGCAAGGCATAATTGGTCTTTTCTTTCAAGATCAGTGCGTGGTTGATAGAAGAGTCGGCAGCTCTCCATTGCTCGAGGCGTTCTGCCAAAGTGCTTTCGAGACGATCCATGATGATGAAAGGGCTGGGACCACAGCTAAGACCACGAACCTTGATGATATGTTTGTGATCAAGAGCAGACAAGAACTTTCCTTCCAAGATAAGGTCAATGGATGCCTTGGTATACTCAGGGAATCTGTTGTTGTTCCTACTTCCGTCCTGAGATCGACGACTGCTACCAAGAAAGCCACGGCGTTCGGGTTTCTTCGGTAGCTTGATAACGTACTTGCACGATGACGACACCTTCTTGGCGTTCCAACAACAGGCAAGGCGGGCATCTTCGGCAATGGGGCTCTGAGAGGCGGGGCCAGATCGCAAGAGCTTGAAACGGGTCACTTCGTACACATCCGAAAAGTTGCCCTGTCCCAACAGAGAGCCCGTTTGAACCTCGCGTCGCTGAAAGAGAGCAATTTGAGAGGAACCTCTGGAGTTATCACTGTGAAGAAACTCCATTTTCTTGCTCCTCTTCTCGACCTGTTCGTTGATGACAGAAGCAGTCTGTCGTTCCACGTAGGTTTGAATCCATGTTGGCCTCATGTTTAATTGGTGCTTCAGTTGATTGCTTTTCGTTGAATTGTGAATTGTGAGGCGAGATGATGGCTGAAAAGCAAACAATCGCTTCAAGCACTTTGCAACTCAGTGTATGACAGGTGAAGGCTCACTTGTATTGATATATTGATGTGGCTTGTGGTAGTTTCATCAGTACTGTTTGCGAACTTGCCGCTCCAAGGGTACCGGTACACCGCATGCGATTCAATCATTCGAAAGACTGCATCAGATCCAGCTCTTCTGCTCTGCTTTCGCACCAAATCCTGCTTTCCCAATGGTGCACAGTGCGCAGGCTCTCATGAAGGGCCTCCTTCCTTAAGAATCTTAAAATATTGTTCTCCCCCCTTCAGAATAAGATTTATTTGAAGAGGCTCTTTTATTTAAAAATCGCTGTTCGCTGTGCTGGTTTTGCTTGTTTCTCCAGTCTACGATGAGACAGCTCGAGACATACACACGTCCAATCTTGACCGCACTGTGCATGGCAGCCCTCTGGCTGTACCGAGCTTCTGTGCAGTGCAGCATCCCAAGCTACATGTAGTGCAAAGCCATTGAATACATGCATCTCTTCGTCCATTCACGGTTGCTGGCCTACTAGTTCGTACCAGCAGTGGGTACATGTCGTTTGAGGGAATTCAATCATTGAATCGGGTAAGCCACTAGTAGACTCTAGGAAGCAGCAAGAAAGCCAACTGCTTCCTGCACTTTTGAAACCTCCGTCGACATCACCCGTAGCCGCCATGAATCATGTCTCTCGAACTCAGTGGCCGACGATCTCGAAGTCGAGGAGGATTTTGATGACACTGGCCACGACTGACTCGACTCGACTCGAGCATCTATCTGACCCCGCGGCTTTACCCAGTGGCTTGGGCCTGCGGTATCACGCCAGAAACAACTCTGCTTGAGGTGAGTCCACAAAGGTGTTGCTCGGGCAGAGTGACACCCCTTTGGGTAGCCACTCACTGCAAGGAAGCTGTTGGTACCGGTACCAGCAGCTCTGTTCGTGCTGAAGAATGGCGGCTACTAGCTAGCTTCAGCAATCCCAAAACCTTCTGAATGATGACCACTGTTTTTGAGGACCGGTGAAAGATACTGGTGGCTGGCTCTTCATTCAACTCAGGCCAAAACGCGGAGACAGTCACAAGGTGCTTGACAAGTACCTCGATGGAAAGAGAAACAAGGATGCTACATGGACTGTTCGGTGCTGAATGTTTCGTTGGAATTCCTTTCGGCAACCATATGCTTCCAAAACAATCGTTTTTGAGGAGCAGTGGCATGGTACTTGCAGCATTTCTCACTGTAGTCATGAATGGACCAGTCTGTTGAGCACCGGTAAAAGATACTTGCTCGCAGCTAGAATGATCAACGCATGGTAGTTGACATGTAATAGCCCAATGCAACCTTTACAATGATAACATTTTGAAGGTGCTGAATCGCTTCCGATCGATTGTTCCAACCATGAACTAGGATAGATAACTATCAGCCATCTGCAAGAATGATATCACAACGCCTATGACTTGGCTGAGGCGATCTCAACTCAGTCAAAGAAGGATGAAATCCATTGTCATGACGTTGGTTCGTACTCCTGCAGCCGAATTCAAATGATGTTACTTCGATGCGTCTTGGGGGGTACTGCGGATTGATTAATCATTCATGGTTTTGCCGCCCTCAAGAAGATTCCTCCTTGTTGACTGTAATGTGGAATAGACGGCAGTCCAAATCTTTCCCCCACTTGCAGGATGGAATCGATTCGAGTTGATTGGTGATATCTGTGAGGTGAAAGTGAAAGGATGAGGCTTTCTCCAACAGGAGCTTATGAGATGCCTCGCACCTCTCCTGCAGACAGAGGTAAATGTTTGTTTTTGGGTGGGACATGTATTTCAGCGTCTTCCACAATGGTTCTACCAGTTTGGGTGTAAAGACGACATCGGTCCCCACAATAGTATCGTAGGAGTGCGGTATCAGATGCTCGCTCTTGGCCGTGTCTCGTTCATAATTCTCCCAGTCCAAATTTTCGACATAGACTGGAGCGCTCTGGCTCCAAATATCTTTGTTGCGTTCTACATTGGTTGCCAGGTGCCCGGTGTCCGTCACAATGGCATGTTCGGTCATGACCACTTGATCCACAATGTTGTGCGCTGCGAGAACTTGTCCCAGCAAGCCGCACCCAGCGCCCACCTCGAGTGTCTTGCCAAGTGGTCTTCGGTTGGAGCCAGCAAGTAGATATTGAAGCAGCAGATAGGCAGTTTCCCACACAATCCCTCCTGTATGAGCAGTGGTACCAATGTTCTGCTGCACGACAATCGATGCCTGATCTTGCTGTTTCTTCTTCCCGCCGTTGGATTCCATATCTATTCGGAATCCCACCATTGGAGAATTGGCCAAATCGAAAAATACATTGGCGACATCCTCCTCATCACCATTTTCGGAATTTGACTTGACCTTGGTCATGGCATCCTGAAATATCACAGCAGCATCTTCCATGGAATCCTTTGGAGGGGCATTCGAGGTTGTATGCGTGTTCTTTCTTCTTTTCTTGCCCTCGGATTCGGTACCGGTACTATCACTAGGATTTTCTTGACGTTGTCGTTTCCTCCTTTTGCCAGTCTTCATTGCACAGTAAGTATTTGCAAGGATAGTCAACGTTTGTTTTACGCCGCCAGTGTATGAGCTACCGGTCGCTACTAGCCAGATGGATGGATACAATACAGTACCAGGCACCTCTTGGACGGAGACTTTGTCATTTGGTGGTTGGCTGTTGGCTATGAGCTAAGAGCTTGGTGTCACCCCAATAATATTATTGCAGCGTGCCACCAGTCATGAATGGGATTGAATCACAATGTCCAAAGGATCGTGCGGGAGTTGATTCGATTCGAGCGACCAAAGCAACTCTCCAAATGGTGCACACGTCTTGTCTTGTTGTCTTTGATGGGGGGGTTTAGTCTTTGAAGTCTCCACATGGTACACACGTTAGTCTTTGAAGCAGGGTTCACTAACCATTTGGTTGGGTACCGGTTACTGGTTACTCAACCAGTAACCAGTTTTGCTAGGGTACCGGTTACTGGTTACTGGTTGAGTAACCAGTTCTGCTAGGGTACCGGTTACCGGTTACTGGTTGAGTAACCAAATCAAACAACCGGTAACCAAATGGCAATTTGAGTAACCGATTCGGTAACCAAAACGGCAATTTGAGTAACCAATTCGGTAACCGGTTCGGTAACCAGTCGACGGGGTACTGGTTACTGGTTACTGGTTGAGTAACCAGTTCTGCTAGGGTACCGGTTACCGGTTACCGGTTGAGTAACCAAATCATTCAACCGGTAACCAAATGGCAAATAACCGGTAACCGAAAAAACCGGTTAGCGAACCCTGCTTTGAAGTCTCCAAACTCCAAACGGTACACACGCGTGTTGCAAAGTCTCTTTGATCCGGGGGTTCAGTCTTTGAAGTCTCCAAATGGTCACACGTTCTCTTTGCGCTCTCAAGTGGTCATCATTGAACGCTCGAATTGTGGTACCGGTACGCAGGACCGTCGGACGGTTTTCGCTCAGGCTTTAAAAAAGCTGCCACGACTGGTTCGATTAAGGGCATGTTTTAAGGGCATGTTTATTAAGGGCATGTTTAAGGGCATGTTGCCGATTTAAGGGCATGTTTTAAGGGCATGTTTATTTAAGCGCATGTTTATTCCTGATAAGGGCATGTTCTATGGTGTTTCAATGAAGGCTTAAGGGCATGTTTTGAGGCATTAAGGGCATGTTTTAAGGGCATGTTTATTTAAGGGCATGTATAAGGGCATGTTGAAGATTTAAGGGCATGTTAAGGGCATGTTTTAAACGGTCCACAGTCGTGGGAATTTCAAGTTTTTAAAAACAAGATGCCTCCGGTGACGCCAACTACGGAAACAGAAATAGCAAAAAGGCATGATAGTGGATTGTGCAACCCTCCCAGCTACTGACATGCTCCCTAGCAGTTTTCCTAGCTCCTCCCCCCGTCCTACTAGTTCCAGCCTCAGTCCTGGTTGTACCTCCCTGCTGGCCTGAGCCCATCTAGTTAGCCTCATCTTCCCAGTCAGTGACATCTCTATAGCATTTCTCCTGGGCAACTCCTTCCCCAGCTCAATGCCAAGTTCCATCACAAATGCCCCTCCTGCTGAGCCTCGGCTATGCAGTTAGCATTACTGCTAGAGCTACCAAGCAACCCTCTTAGCCAGCGGAGGAGTTGGGTCGGTATGAGGAGTGGAGTTGGGTTACATCTGGCCGGCACTGCGTAATGGTACAGGATGACTTTATATACCGCTGACAGGTGTCAAAATGTGAGCGTTTTTTACGGTTATATTTCAGTTTCCGGAAATGGGAACCTGGAAGTGGTTATTTCGCGAATCATGCATAGCAATGACTGTCTCACAAAAAGAAAAGATTGAAGAAAATAAAATGAATTTTACCACCATGGCAACAGTGTTGACCAAATGGCTATTAGCTTTACCAATACACTGATCTGATCAACTCTTTGCTAGCAGTAGCTCCCCAACACACTCACAGACACTCCCCTTGAAAAGAGTTGATCAAATCCAAGGTTTCCTATGGAGCCTCTAAAAAAAAACCAGGCTTGGATTGCATTTTGTTGTCATTTTGCCATGCATTTCTCCATGGGAAAAGTGCTCCTGTCCTTACTCTCAGCACTCAATCTGCATTGTAGATCATGGTAGAGGAGTGGGTGGCTTTGCATGCAGACTGGAGCACCCAATTCAAAGTTTCAAAAGAGAATTGTTGGCTTGATGACCACAAATGGAGCACATTTCCTGTTTGTTGTTGGTCAACCAGTCATTACAGTAGTAGAGTAGATGCCGCTTGTTCCTTTTGTAGTAGCACTAGGAGAGGCTTCACGGCCGCTACTACTCGTATGGTACCGGTAGAGGTGTCATGGTTGGTTGCTCGGTGCAATTGGCTCTGTGATCGCCGAACGGAAGAAGCAGGTTGTTTCCAGTTCTTGCCATTGTCGAGGGGTCGCTTGTTACAATAGTAGTACTAGTAGTCGCTTGTTCTTGCGGTAGAGGCATCATGGTCGCTCCGATCGCTCAAGAGGAGGTTCATCGTGCAATCGATCCGTCGAACGATCGAACGGCTGCCGCTTCCGCTTTCGATCCTAAGCAAACAAGAGGAGCCTGTCATGGTGGTGAGTAGTAGCCTTTGTTAAGAGGTAGTAGCCTTTGTTAAGAGGAGTAGCCGCTGTAAAGAAGAGGAGGAAGCATCATCTTGATAGAGCAAAGATAGAGGTATCGATCGAAATAATGAAAGAGGTGTACTCCCGAGCCGAGTGATGAGAGTTGTGTTTAAGGTTAAGGCTATATGTCCCTTAAGTCTTTTCACGGAACGTTCCTGGAAGTTCTGGTTCGCATTCGAATGTCGTACCGGGAGCGGGCTTGCGTTTGTCTTGATAGTTCAGATTCAGCCTGTAATATCTACCTTTACTGTACTCATCATACAGTATGGTACAGTATGGCATGGTACAGAGACTTTAGCCTGTAACCCTAAAACGAGGACGAACGAACGATTGATTGATTGATTGACACACCAAACAACAAAATCCGCAACAGGCCAACTCCATAGTTGGCGATCCTGAGTGAAAACCGTCGGACGGTCCAGGAGCACTTGACTTTGTTTTAGGCCCTTCCCACCTCCCACAAACAAAAGGCACACAAAACAAAGAAGACAAAGACAACCAAGCAAAAACCATGACAATTTTGATTGTAGGAGCAGGAGCTGCAGGATTGACGGCTGCATATACGCTGCTGCAGGAGGGTGTTACTGACTTTCGCATCTTGGAAGCCAGTGACCGCATCGGTGGAGCGACGTCTGAAGAAACTAGAAGGCTTTGCCTCTTTCCCAATTGACCTGGGAGGCGAGTGGATCCATGTTGAACCAAACGTATTGGAAGATATTTCTCAGGATGACAGAATTTTGGACTCCATTGATACAATTCATCACATACCAGAGGAGCATTTGGTGTGGTATGGTCCGACAGAAGGGTTTGAACCTGACTATTCCATTGATTATGCAAATATTTCGGACTATCTGTTTCAAAACTATACCTGGTTTGACTTCTTCAATGACAACATCGGTGTGCCAGCTGTGAAAGACTCACTTGTCTTTGATTGTCCCGTTGAGACCATTGACTACTCAGGTGCCACTGATGGAGATGATCCCGCCAAGGCGGTCACTGCCACTTGCGAGGATGGTACTTCCTTTGAAGGATCTCAAATTATAGTTACAGCTCCAATCCAAATCCTGCAAGATGGCGACATTGAATTCATTCCAGAGCTTCTGGACAGGTACATCAATGTGATTGACAGGATTCCCTTTCCTGGTGGATACAAGATCTTCCTCAAGTTTGAACAAGCCTTTTATCCAGATATCTTTTCGTCTGCGCTTGATCCAATTTATCTTTACTTCTACAATGAAGCTTACGGTGAAGACACCGAAACTGAGCATGTCCTGGGTGTTTTTGTGTCGGGAGAATGGGCTGAGGAATCGGGTCAATGGGATGATGAAACTCTTCTGGACTATGTTGTTGCAATGCTGGATGAGATGTTTGATGGTGAGGCCAGTCAGTACTTGATTGATGGTGTGGTGCAAAACTGGGATCGAGAACCCTTCATCCGCGGTACTTACAGTCACTATGACAATACATGGCGCCAGATGGACCGGCTTCGCAACCCAATCAATGATGTGCTCTACTTTGCTGGAGAAGCCATTCCTGCTAGTTACACAAACTATGGCAATGGTTATGCTCATGGAGCAGCTCTGTCTGGAAAAGAGACGGCAGAGCGCATTATGGGTTCCGGTGGAGGTTCCGGTGGAGGATCTGCGACAATGCCTTGGAGTGCTTTTCCCCCTGGAACTAATGGAGTTCTTGATTATATGGCTCATAGAGTGCATCAATGTGTTCGTACAAGTGATAACATTTGCGATTCTAGTCTAAGAAAGCTGCTGCTAGATAGATTCACTACATGTTGGACAGGGATGTAGGGGTGTCACCCCTTGCCGACCGTACCAGCAATCTTCTCGGATAACAGCTTCCTTACTCGTGTTGCACTCACGTGTTTGAAAACGACGATCGGCAATGATCCCTGTTGTCGGCAATGGCAAGATGGGCTAGGGCAAGTTCGGTCACGGATGAAAGCGATTTGTGTACAAACAACGGTTCTATAGCTTTTTAGTAGGGAGGCTAATGCAAAAGATGGGCCGACCAAATCCATCGCACCGTCTCACATTTACGCAGTCAACGAACTTATGCACAGTCATTCACTAATACCCCCAGTCATCATGACAAACTTTCTGCAGCAGCATCATTCATTGCCAGCTCTTTCTGACCGGACTGATTCTCTTCCGTTTCAGTGACACCCATTTCCTCATCGCCGGGGGGACACTCACCATTGTCTACTAAAGTTTGAAGCTTGCGCTTCACTTCTTCCATGTTGTCAGCAATGTTGGGCATACTAGTGGTAACGTCCGTTTCGGGCTGATGAAGACTCAGGGGCTTTACGTTTTTGCTTTGCTTTCGTTGTAAATTGTAGTACCTCAGAAGAAATAGCGAACAGGTCCATGACAGTATGCCAAGTCCCATGTAAAGAAAGCCACACACCACTGATAGGATAACCAATCGATTTCCAGCCTTGTTGATTGTGCCATCAACTACTCGTCGGGTACCAATCACTTGCCAACAAGCCCAGACCACACAAAGAAGGTAATACACTGCCAAGACCCTGTCATACAATAGGACCAGGCGAATGCGATCCCATGAATTAGGGGCTGTGCTGGCAAAAGCCTGGTCGGATCTGACTGTTCTAGAGCTTCCACGGGGATGGTCCACAGTGACGTACGGTGTTTCAAGGCTCGAGGAATCAACACCCTCTTTGGTCATGGGTGTCAAATCAATTGACAACGATTCTTGGGGCCGGGGAATTTCTCGAATCAGCTGCACTGTGTAGACTGATACCCCCAAGTGCATGGCTGTCAGAAGTGTGTTGAAGAAGAGCCATTGGGAACGGCAATCTGGGGAAAAGAAAGACACTAGACCGTAGGCAAATGGTGGCATATTCAGGGCAAATGTCACAAAGAGGTATGGGAAGAAGGCGGAGGTTGCCAGGTCTTTGAACTCCGCACAAACCACGCTCACAATGGACGTGACTCCAGCGCAGTTCTTATCTATATCGTCAAAGGTTTCCTTGTTTTCGCTTCGAACTTTGCTGGCTATAGATTCGATCTGTTCAGATGCTGATGATGCCAAAGCAACGCATTCCTTGGCAGCAATGGCGGCCATGTTGGGGGATTTGGAGGGTGGCAAGGTTCAGCACTCAGCACTTGCTCCCTTTCTGTCAGGCTGCGGGAGCTCAAGCAAAGCACCAATATTAGTACAGTATTAGTCAAGCTGACAGCAGACAGCAGCACACGAGAGCATTACGAAAAGTGTGAAGGGGATTTCTCTGTGGTTTTCAACGGTTGGGGCTCTTCTTAAGTATCATTACTTTGTTTAAGGTAATTAGCGATGATTTCCTCATCGCGCGGCGGCACTCTGTAAATAAAATTACCTCGCTGTTACGACAGTAAGGTTGACGGTACCGGTACGTACATCGTACCGGTACCTGGAAAAGGGTTAATTTTGGTTACGGAACTATCGGGTCTGTTGCCATGGCAATTCTATCTGTGCTATGCTTCTTGTCATTTATTTTTTAGCTAGTAGCTTCCTTTATTACAGTCGTAGTATTTGAGGATCTTACAGCGGAAAAACAAACCCTTTTTTCTGGTCTTGGCTATCGTTTGGGTTCTTCCCCTTCGGTCTGGCAAGTCGCTACTGGTACAGACTTGCTTGCTTGATTGAATCATTCATCCAGGCGATACGAGTTTTGTTGCTTGGGGCCACTTGGCGAGTGGAACCGTACCGTTATTGCGTGTGGCATTGCGACTATTTGAGGCAGAATCAAATGTTTGCTGTGCCAAAGGAGACCAGAAACCGATGCATAGACGAAATAATAATGATTACATGTACGTCGCACAGTCAACCAACCCATGCCAACAGTCCTCACGCTAAGCTAGCTGCCCTTTGCTTGCATGTCTTTTTGCGGCTAGTGCCCCAGCAAGTACACCAAGGCCTAAGTACACACATCCACAGATCACTGAGGGGATAGCAAAATCAGTGCATGACTCATCAATGACCTCATCAAGTACTTGTTTGATACCGATAGCTTGCCAGACCATCCAAAAAACACAGAGAATGTAGTAGGTAGTCATGACCTTGTCATGGAAGAGGACCATCTGAATGCGCTCCCGTGAATTGGGGGCAGTGCTAGCCAAAGAAGGTCTTGATCTGCCAGTTCTAGATTTGTCATTGGGACGATCCACAGCGACATAAGGGGTTTCAAGACTGGAGGCATCAACACCTTCTTTCTTTGATGTTGGAATATCAGCTGACAAGGCATCTTGGGGCTGGAGGACTGCTTTGATCAGATGCACCATGTAGACCGGAACTCCCAAATGCATGGCTGCCAAGAGGGTGTTGAAGAAGAGCCACCTTGAATGGCAATTCAGTGAATGCATGGATGCCAGGCCATACGCAAGTGGTAGTACATTCAGCACAAAGGTGACAAAAAGGTATGGGAAAAACGAAGAGGCTCGAATTTCCTTGAGTTCTTCCAAGACCACAGTTGAATCAACATTGGCTTCAGAACAGTTCACGGTGGAAAAGTTTGCTTCGACATCGTTGCCTGGGGAACAGTTGCCTGGGGAACAGTTGCCTGGGGAACAGTTGCCAGTGTCAAAGGTTTCCGCTTCGCTTCGCACTTTGATGGCCTTCTTTTGCATGTGAGCCCTCAGGCTCTCCAGTTGATCCTTGAGAGCCAAGACTTCGTCCCGGTCATCATCAGCCTTGTCCAATTTCCTTCCCACACGGGACGTCAGACTCTCCAAATGGTCTTCGACTGCCTGGTCTTGTTTTTTTGCCAAGAGAAACTTCAGATTCTCCAACTTTCCCTTGAGGACCAGCATGTCGTTACCGTCGCCATCATCCTTCGGAGATTGAGTCACAAGAAGTGCGCTGTTGTCGGGAATACCTTCTTCAGCCATTGTGGGGTCACCTGGAGTGAAAAAAACCAAAAGAGAACGTATTGCGAGTACAGTGGTACAATAGTAGATAGCAAGCTGGAGCTTGATAAAAAAATAAAATGGATGACAGTAAACTGATTCGAATTCCTAAACGAGTGGGAGTACAGAAATAATTGATCAAGGTTACTGGATAAGATCGCACCTTTTGTGGGCCAAGCTACATGCAGTACAACCAACAGCTGATCGTCATCCGTTGGACGAGCCTACTACACTGTGTAGTAGCTAGCTACGGTAACTTCCAATGTTCCAACCACCCGATTAGTCTCCATGGCGTTGATTGATGGAAAATCTAAATGAGAAAAGCAAAAAGGGTGCGCCATGAGAAATCAGCGAGAGTCGAGTCCTCCTGCTACCGTACTCGTACCGCACCGATAGCTTCTTCCACGTCCACGTTCTGCGGAGCTTTAGTATTTTAAGCTAGCTAAACTGTAATAGCTGTCTTTTCTTCCTCTAACTGGCTGGCGATCGTGGAAGTCGTTAAAGTCGCTGCCTTTCGATTCAAGTCGCAGCAAGTTGCGCAAATTGCGATATTAAGTCATTCCAAGAAACCGCAAAAGTCTCGAATAAACAGTCGATCTGGTGCGAGGAATCTGGGGAATGGGGATTCTTAAGAATCATTTTGTTCTTTTTGCTGATTCTTAAGAATCATCAGGCATCCAGTATGCAACCTAATATACTAGCAATATGGGCTTCATAGCTAGCAATGCTATCCCCTGATACTATCTGCTAACCAACAACAATGTTTGCTGATAAGACAAGCCTTGTAATGATGCATTAGTGCATACCAAAACCATTGCAATGGAGTCTTTCTTGATTTTTACAAGTATTCCCAAGATTCAGCATATTTGCATTGAGGATTCTTAAGAATCATCATAATTTGGAGAGGATTCTTAAGAATCAGCAAATTCCATTCAATGATTCTTAAGAATCAGCATTTTTCATTGCTGATTCTTAAGAATCATCTAGCTTTTTCTTAAGAATCTGATTTTGAAAAAACTGATTCTTAAGAATCATTTGCTGATTCTTAAGAATCATCAATTTCCAAGAATCTGGAAAATTCTGATTCTTAAGAATAGTCTGATTCTTAATTAAGAATCCTTGAATCCTTGTCTACCCAGTATTTGATTCTTAAGAATCATAATTTTCCCAAGATTTTTTCCTGATTCTTAAGAATAATCTGATTCTTAAGACTCCTCATAACAGATCCAAGTCTTGTAAGTTGCAATAATGTCAATCGAAGTCGCGATTTTGTACCGGTACTACTAGTCGTGAAAACCACGCGATTTGCGCGACTTTTTCAGGAAAGTCGTTATCGGTAAGTATGTCGAATGTCACAATCATTTGTTATCACAGATGGTTTGCTTCCCCGATACTGTCGCAATCTGTGTTCCTGGACAATGAGTGGCTCCTCCCAGGATGTGCCATCCTCTGGTAAATTCAAACCAAGTTGCATTCGTTCCTCTATGGAGCCCGATGTGAAAATTGTGGTCGGTGGGCGAGTCTACCAAGAGTACAGTCAATCGCTGTCCTGCTGGAGTGGATTCTTTGATCGAGCACTTTGCAGCGGTATGAAAGAGTCAACCACAAAATCGTTTGAATTCCCAGATAGAAAACCAGAAGAGTGGGAATGGCTAGTGGAGTTGATGGCACCAATGTCAGGCAAGCAGGTAACGGAGGAAAATGTGTATACCGCCCTGTCGTGGTTTGACGAGTTGTGCTGTGTCAAAGGGATAGAGGAGTGTGACAAGGTCCTTGAAATGAAGGTCCAGGTTGATATCAACCGTAACCAGGTGTCATTTTCAGGAAATTGCTTCCGGACCAACAGTGACGAGAAGAATTTGAAGAATGCCGTTGAAACCCTCTTGGATGCCCTTTCAACTAGCTTTCGGTACAATCTGAAGCGTTTGAAAGCAAGATGCATTGATTTCATGCAACAGGCTATTGAAAATGTCATGTGCCTTTTTGAAATTGAGCAAATCACTAGATTCGTTTTCTTGCTTACGACCTATGTTGAATGCAAGGAAAAGCTCTTGGGTTCGCTCATGAAAAATTTGCCCTCTTCTATGGCAGACATGCCAGACGATGAGCTCCTCAGACAGGATCTACTACCAGTCTTTTTACACACGGAGGCGGCTAGAAGAGAAAGTGAAAGTAAATTGAAAAGGCGTAGAGATGCTGTGCGTGACGCAGAAAAGGAAGGTGTTGCGCCCCCAGAGATTGTGGTTGAAGGAGCTGGGCAGCGCGCTGTGAATGGCACGTACGCCCGAGATGGCTGGTTTGAAGCTTCCGCAATGTACTCAATGCGTGGGAGGTACAATGGAGAAGCCTGTGTTTTTCGATTGTTTCAGTGCCGCGTCATCAATGACACATGCCACTGGTATATTTCAACGGTTCCCCGTCACAGTCAACCAGGAACAACCGCTGATATTGACTTTTACACAGCACCAGTTCTAGACAACTGTATTGACTTCCCACCAGCAAGAACTTGGACCAGATCAAACGAAGGGGTGGCTCCGCCACCAAGAGTTATTCTTCCCACTGGCTGGAGCTAGACTAGGGATCGAGACATTCGATGGAATGATGAATCGATCTCCGGATCCAACACACTCCATCTTTGTCACGTTGACGAAACTATTTTTCATGCAGTTCGCCGTCCAGACCTACCTTACAAGATGCACGTTCATATTAGCTGTTATGGTCTTTTTTACTGTAGGTTGTTGCTGATGATGCGTTTCCTCAAAACTAAATACGGCTACTACCGTATTGCTGCTCTCTTATCTCTACTGGTGGTAGAGAGAGAGTGTTACATTTTGTCGGAGTAGTTGTTGTTGGCTTTGGCCTTGGCACCTGATGCTTCTCTGCCTCTGAGAACCAATGCTTTTTCCTTCTCCTCTTTCTGCGCCGCATACTTTTCTCGCTGGCGTTCCCGACACCTCATGCACTTGGTAGCATGACCCTTGTCTCCAAAGGCCGCCCAGCACCGAAAGTTCTTGCAACCCTTGCACCATTTGATTTCCATGCCGGTACTGGCAATAATCCACACGTTGACATCACAGAGAGTGCACAATCCTTTGTTTTGAGTGGGGATGAACGCCACTTCGGCATTGGATTTTGATCCGGTCCGCATTTTCTGCTTGCTTTGCTTCATGGCTGCCGATGTAGGACATGCCTGGCCACACATGACGCAGCAGCGAAGGTTGTCGGGTAGAGACAGTGAAGGAAAGTTCATGAGACTAATGAACTCGGGGACGGGGACGTCCTTTTGTGCGTCCATGTCGCTGTGAATATCAATCCATTCAAAAACAAAAAGAGAAGTAAGTTAGTATGGAAGAGCACTTGATGGCCATTGGACTGTATGTGAGCACTTACCCCTGGAAGCGAGACGGAATGGGAGGTTTCATTCTAATACACCGTCGCTTGGAGTCGGGTACTTCAGAATAGTTGGCGATTGATTGTGCTACAGACGCGTAGAGGTCATTAGCAGTTGGTGTAGGTACTCCTGAAGCGGTTGGCGAAGAGGCTGGGGGTTTCATGGTCACCAAATCAAAGTCTCGACTTCGTTTGAGTGATGACATTCTATTCATGAGAACATTACTATTGCTGTTGTTGGAGTTGCTGTTCCCAGAGGTGTCGCTGAGGGCCAGACCAGCAGCATGGTTGTTGTTGTGATGTGCTATCAGCAGTGCTCGCTGCTGCATGAGGATGGCAATTCGATCCTCGTACATATTTCTTTCCCATCGTTGCATTTTATCCCATCGTACTATTTCCCGTTGGCGATCCGCTGCTGACATCTTGCGGAATTCTTCCATTTTCTTGGTGACAAAGGCAAAATCCGTGTCAATGCCAAGAATGTGCTTGGGAACGGCCACCCAGTGATCTTTGCCCAGTTGAAACTCGTCTGGGAAAAACACGGCGTTCACATGCTCTGTGCTCGTCAAATCTACTCGACGTAAAAGATTCTCATCTTTCATCGAGTACTTGGGAATGAACGGCCGATGATTCTCGGGAGACCCCGTTTCTCCGCCAGTCTCATCGTCGTCAATTTGTTGTTGTTGCTGCTGTTGTTGCTGCTGCTGTTGTGCTTGAAGGATGAGGTCCATTTTGTAATCAGGATTCGAAAGAAGGTTGTTGCCTTTTCCAAACAAAAAAAGCCGACGACTATCTACACAACTCAACACTTGAGGCTGGATATCACGGACCTCTCTAGTAGGATGCGACACCTTTCAAAAACAAGCCAGCAACCTACCGGCAATGATCAATCCAGGACGACGCCTTCTGGACAACAAGTCTGAGCTCTTCCCGAAGGTTGAATGAGAAAGAGTGTCGATTTTTGCGATAGAACAGCGATGGCTGACGGGCGCGTCTGTCTTCCTGTCGTTCGGCGATACCGATATCCTTACTATTAAGATAGATGTTGCCGGTATTGCCGGTACAGTATGGTGCCGGTACTGTACATACCAGTACTGTAGGTATTGGAAACTGACTCGCACCGCAATTGTATGTGGCTCTTCGTTCGCAGTTTTGGTGCATGGCTCTCTGATGATAGCTCTCTTATTGCACGACTTTGCATGTGAGCAGGTAGAGTAGGCAACATGTACATGTACCAACATATGTATGCCAAGTACCAGCGTATTCCCTGCGGGTTGCTAGCTATGTAGATATATTATCATAGCTACAGCAAAGGTGAGGATCCGGAGGCTCGTGATTGTTTCGAGATTGAAACCGCTCGTAAGGACACCGGTACCGGTATGATGCTCCGACTCCCCAGAGATTATGGCGACGATGCCGTTCTGATCTGCCTAAGACCTGCTGAAATCTTTGACAAGAATCGAGAGAGGACACATAAAGTCTACGAGATGCCTTGTAGGCTAGTAGGCGCAACTACTCGAAAGCAAGAACTAGACACGATCCCAGCTCCTCGTGAACTCGCTCTACGGCTGCACGGGAATGTTTGCTTCTAATTACCGGCAACTTGCAACTGGAGGTGAAGCACGATGTAGTGCCCGAAACCTGTGAACTTTAACGACGTCAAAGACTACGAAAAGGTAGCAAGCAAGTCAGACTCCGATGCCCAACACCTCAACCATGGCTGTTCTCCAAAACTTCGAACCCAAAGCCATCACCCACGACCTTCAAGGAACAGTTTAGTATCTTGTTATGGCATGCAACAAGTCAACCTTAGAATAAGCACTGTCAATACCTTTGGGGCACGACACTGCAGCCTACGCAACATGGAGCAACTCAAAATCCTGCAACGATCCAGAGAATCGCCAGAGAAGCTCAGCAACTCCTGCAACGAAATCGACAGGGCCTGCCAACACCAGTGCAGCACTTCACAAGTACCATAATGGCCTAGCCCAAGCACTGATGATCCCCATGGGGTATGAAAAAGTCAAACAACCAAAATGCTACCACAGAGTCCAGCCTTTGTTTTAGCCATTCGGCAGTTTGAGTGTGAACTTGCTTTAGTCTTTTTGCTAAATCGTATGACGGTGCCATCTACTCCCTTTCTTTCATTTGCAAATGAGGTCCCCACCGTATCACACGAACAGTCAGCATTCCTGAAGCAAGAAGACGCAGAGTTGCCGTTGCGTTGCATGTTGGCATAATCAGGAACGAGTCGAGTCTTTGATCAGCACCCCGTGACACCAGCATGCTCTAAGTTTCTCCTCTTCAGCGTTCTTCATTGATCGGCGAGACGGATTGAGCGGCTAAGTGCTGTCTTCGCATGCTGGACTTCGTTGCTTTCGGTTTTCCAATACCGAATGGCCCGAGCTTATCAACCATCGTCTCTTTAAGGAGGAATGGATCAACCCACTTCTTTCCTTTGCCGTTGTCATCTTTCACCAGAAAACGGGTTCCGATAGTCAGGACTACCAAGCAAAACACGCAAACTACCAGCACACCCCACTGAGTAATGTAGATGAGCAGTCCTGACAGAGGACCAAATGCTTGGGGCGCAAAGGGCACGCCAATAGTCAAGGTGGATGAGAGCATGAACAAGACCCAGATCCTCAGACACATGCCATAGTTCCACCACGAGAACACCGCCGTAAGTTCCATGGCAAAAACTACAACCATGCCAGCAGCTCTGAAGAAGGCGGGCGTTTGCAAAATCAAGTCTGCAAGGAGGTACTTTTTGATGGCTGCGCCGGAATACTGCCCCCGCAAAGCCAATTGTGCAATATAGCGATCATCAACCCAGCCGAGACCGGCCTCTCCCAATTTGGTGCAGCCCGCTGAATACAAGTGAAGGGACAACACGAGCTTGTTGAATGCAGCCTCCAAGGTTTCGTAGTACTGGCTGCCATAGATCATTGCCAAGATTTGTGCGGCCAGATTGCCCATTGTCCACTGTGCCTCAATACTGAGGTGGGCCGTGTCGTAGCGACGATCAAGCTCAAATCGATAAACATAGATTGTAACTCCCACGATACCTGCAAGCTTCAGACCACAAGACAGAGCCATGTACTGTTTGTTGTGTAGCTTTCGTTGTAAAAACCAACTGTCCAACAGAGCAAGCAGAAAAAAGACAATGCTGTGGTATCCAGGTAAATGATAAACCTTGTTCGCCCCATCCAGTGTAATACATTCAAAAAATACATCTGCAAGGTATCGTTTGAATAGAAGAGCCACTGGAGAGCTGAAGGGCCGGAAGAGAGCTTCTCTGGCAGATTTCGAGGATGGACCAAAGGGTCTTAGGTCGTTCGCCAACAATGTAGCTGGTATGGCCATGAGTATCCAGTAAATGATGGATTCCTGGTAATGTGAATCTTCTGGCATGAGGGCCCCCCAGTATTGTGGATCCAAATTGGTTTGTAGCTTTTTATAGCTCTCGTAGGCGAGAACGGAAACACGAGGCTTTGTTGACGTAAGATAGTCCCACCAGCTTATTTGCGTATTGTTGGCAAGAATTGCCACAGACAGCCACTGGACATGCAATCCATCCTCGATTGAAATTTGTCTCACTGCTAACTTTTCTTTCAAAGCTACTATTCTCGGGTCGTCCTTTTTGATCAAAGAAGAAGAAGTACTGCCTCCTCCTCGGATCGTCTCAACCAGTGCTTTTCCCGTGTCAAAATCTTGTACCTGGATTCCTGGAACGTTTTCAATGGGATCACCATTCTCCCAAAGATCCTTTTTGCCCTGTGGTAGGATGTAGCAAGCAAGTCCGATAAAAGCTCGATAGTCACTGCCCGAGCTGGGAGTATGAGAATACAAATCGGTAGATCGAAAAATCACCAATTCGTGCCCACTGAACTTGTTCACATATCCGCCAATAACAAAGATAATGGCGATTCCGAGAGCTATCCGGTGCTGTATTGCCGGAGGTAGAGCCGTCATTGTCGTACGCTTGTTGCAATGAGATGCACTGAGAATGGTAGACTAAGAAGAAGTCCAAAGAAGAAGAGGAGGTGATCTCCTTGCAATGGCTCGGAAGGCGACAGCCAATGCAGTCAGAGAGCTCTGGAATAAAGGTAGATGCGGTAAACAAAATCATTACATGTGTAGAAATCAGCGTACTAGTACCTGTTTCCAGTTAGCGTAAATAATCATATTTTACCTCAACTACTGATGTAATGCTGGCTTCCGAGGTTGAAGTTTTTACCGGTGACTGTCACTCACGATTTTGAATCTTGCGAAAGATCGATCATAAGCCAGTCGGTTAGTTTGAAATTCGGTGAGGAGAGGCAACATGTTGACTTCTTCCGTTCTCGCGGCCGATGACTGCTGACCATGATGACGGAGCGACAATTGCTTCCATCCACCATGACGCAAACGACGCGAAGATAAAGGTAGCTCCACAGCCACAGCTTCTTTCGTTCGATCGATGACTTCTTCCTGCTTCCACCTTCTTCCCGCTTCCACGGAGCGACCATGACAGTTCTCCTTTCACGGAGCGATAGATCGGAGCGACCATAGCGCCTCTACCACACCACAAGTGGCTACTCCATTGCAATTGCAGCAGGTTCGGAGCATCCGCCAGTACCTGGTAGCGGCTACTTTCAATACCCACAATGGCACCGATCGACTATTCTGTTTCTTTGGTCTGCGGATCAATGACTTCTTCCTCTTTCACGGAGCGACGAGCCTCCGTGACGCGACGCGAAAGCCAACGACGCAAAGACTTCCACTGATAATGAAATGGCTATTATAGATTATCTACTCTTCTTCAACCCAACCCAACCCAACCCAAGAAAGGAGAGTTATCTCCAGTGTCAGCAGGCTCCACAAGAACAACTTCGTCCTTGGATTATCTACTCCACGACGGCACTATCCAACCAAGCCAATTGAAACTCTACGCCAAACTCATGTCGACGTCGCTTTCCACTGAAAGATTGGCCCCATCATCGCTCAACATACTGGTGCCAGTGTAGTCCTTGCTCAGAGAAATTTGGTCGTGGTCAGTGGCTGTATCATTCCCAAAACGGCAAGGAGTGTTGCTACTATTGCCGGGGTGCAGATTGTGGTGCTTTGGCAAGGTATTTTCATCCTCAGAACTACTGAATGTTGCCGACAGCACTTCTTGCAGCGCCTTGTTCAACATCTCAGTGCTGAATGGGTCCTCAGGCTTGCAACCAAGGGCTTGGTGGTAAGAATCAATCGCTTCGTCCAAGTTGCCCATTAAATGCTTGGTGAATCCAAGTGCTGCGTAGCCGGAGCAGTTTTCCTGAAACGGGAGAGAAACATTTACATCAAAGTTAAGTCGCAATCAGGCATTCAACAGAGAGTGTTTGGTCACTGACGTACAGGTGATAACGCAATGCATCTTTCAAAACAATGAGCTGCTTTGCTAAATTGCCTAGTCTTGCGGTAGCACTGCCCCAGATTGAAAATGGTAGCTTCCCAATGCTTCTCCTGGCACAACTGGATGCTCTCTGCCACAGATTTCCGTTGTTGATGTTGTTGTCCATCCGTGTGGACACAAGCTCCAAGACCACGGCTGAACCATCGAATGGCACTGGTATAGTCAGACCTGTGCATGGCCAAAACACCCAGTTCGTTCAAGCAGAGCGGATCGCCACCACTGGCTTTGCAAGCTGCATTCAAAAAGTACTGCGCCAATACCAAGTGATTCGTTCGAAGGTACTCAATCCCCATGTACAAAAAGGAGGCGTATTCACCCGGTGAAATCCTCTGAGCCGCTCTGAAGGAAGCCAGAGCTTGATCGGACTCATCACAGGCTGCAAAGGAACACCCAAATGCAATCCAAGCTTCTGTGCAGTGTGGATCCAACCTTGTCGCACGGCAAAAGTGTCGCTGTGCCACGTGAAAGCGTTCACAACAGTAATAGTAGCTCCCCACCGCAAACCAAGCCCGTGCCGATTTCGGGGATGCGGCAACCCATTCATGTGCCAATCGAAAGAGGTGCCGTTTGTGCCCTAGTGCAGCCAGAGTTGCAATATACACATACCCCGCCGCTTGGCAGAGAGGGTCAATAGAGGCAAGGTGCTGGCAGTGGGCAAGGGCGCTTTTTAAATCGTATCGTCGATAGGCCCTCCTGGCAGCCATGGCCAAGACTTCGGGGGATTGATCTAATTTGTGAACATGCCACAGTTTAGCAAATGCATCGTCTACGCTTTGTTGGATGGTGGATTTCCCCTTTGTCGTTGCTGTTGCCATTTTTTCTTGTTCTTCATCCCGCCCAGCATTGTTGTCCACAGTGGTGCTGTAGTCAAAGTGGACTGCAGCATTGGACTTGTTGCCACCGCCAGTGGAGAGGATCCCACGTAGATTGGATCCAGCCATAGCCATGGTGGATGTGACTGGATTTCCATTGGGTGTGGCCAACATGAATGGCGATGCCAGCTGGATGGAGGATGCATCAAGATATGGATGGTCTTCATTCATCATGCCAAATGCCGACTTGGGGGTCATGCCTCGAGACAATGATGAAAGATTGTGCACATCGATACTTTGTTGTTGTTGCGCTGCATCCTCGGTGGTAGTACCACCCAAACCGTCTTGTGGCGATAAATCAATTCGCGCAAGGTACATGAGCCTGAGCCACTCCATGGACTCATCCATAGTCAAGCTCTGGATGATTTCAAATGCTTCTCGAGGTGTCACCACGCTTCGTTCCAGCAAGAAATCCAACGCCTGGACACACTTGGGGTCCATTTGAATGGCTCGTTTCCAGTACAATGCTGCTCGTTGTGGATGTCCCGTTTCAGCGTAGGCTCTACCGCGCCATAGGCACAAGCGAGAGACAGGGTGAAGGTATCCCTCGGAATGTTCATGTCGTTGGAAAAGGCTTTGCCATGCAAAATCGTCTTCGTCTTCTAGAGGTTGAGGAGCACCAAGAGCCGCGTGAGCACTCTCGTTACTTCCCCATGAATGGCACGCATCTTCCAATAGTTCCAAGACGCTTTGCCATTCCACTAATGCCGACAATGCTTCAGCTGCCAACAGCACTGCTTCCAGATACAAGGATGGACTCTTGTTGTTAATAGTAGTAGGCGCAATGCCAGGATGATCCAATAGTCCAGCTTCCTCCAGCAAACGGACACACCGCTTGGATTCTCCATTGCGTGACAAGGTTTGAGCATACAGGAAACAGTCTTGCAGTGAATTGGTTTTGGAATAGAGCAAACTAGCGTAAAAGACTGCCGTGGATGGTAATGGAGAATGAGAGGCAGTTCCCAGGGCATTTTTTGTCATTGTTCGCAGCACTTTAGTGTCAATGCCATCAATAATCACTGATTTGTCGTTGCTGGTTGCCATGACATTGTCATCCGTCATTTCTTCGTTCGGGTTTCCTCTGATGGACCCAGTAGTAGTAGTACTACTGGTTGGCCCAGTTGGAAATGATGACAAGTACTTCTCTTTGGCCCAATGTGCATGCTGTTGCTGCTGATCAGTTGGATGTTTCAGCCTTCTTGTTGTTGTAGAGCCGTCACCACCTGCTTCAAAGAAACGACGAGGTGGACGACGTGACGCAGATTGGGCACCGCCTCCTGCTGGAGACCACTGCGTGGTGGATTGAGACGCTGGAGAAGGATCAATGGGAAACAAATTCTGTCCTGCTGCTCCACTGACAAAATTAGGAGATTCCAAGGATGAGTCTCCTGCATTATTGTTGTTGTTGTTGCTGGATGTGGGGGTAGGCTCCGTCATTCTCTCAATTGGATGAATACTGATAGTGGTTGTTGGCCAATGCCTCCCGAAAATGCGCTGCGGGGACTTCTCCGTTGAGCACACCAGCAATTCGGAGTTGGCTTGGTTTCGTAAATAAGCCAGTAGGCGCTGTTTGAACTTCAATGAGGAGGACGCAACCTGGCTCTGCCGTCTGGACCCGCCAACCACCACCTCCTCTAGCTAGCTAGATAGAGCTACCTACCGGTAGCTAGAGAGCAAGTTGCTGACTCAAAAGATACCGGTACTGTAGAGCATCGTACCGTTTTCTTAGTTGCAACTCTAATCAACCCATAATGGCTGGAACTCAAGGACCGTCGCCCCAAGCTAGAAGCAGAGGCACAGAGTGAGTGATGAGAGCAATCAATGCCTCCCGCTTTTTAAAAAAAGGCCTACTAGTATTTTTTTTTAATACCAAGCCAGCTAGCCAGCACTCCGCCAATTTTGCAAAACCTGCTTCATGCTTCGTGCATTAATGAAGGGAACGAGTTGGAAATACCTAGGTAGAACCTACCTTCAAGGTTTTGTGGTGCTGACTTCGATATGTTATCTGATCCTACTAGTACGACTACGGTAACATTGGCATGCCGAAAGCTGCAACCTGCCTGCCCGCCAGCCATACCGGAAGTACGAGAAAGCAACGTCTTCATCCGTACAAGACAGTACAACGTCAAATATAGTTCTTTAGTTTGTTATTATGCATGCCATTCTGGTGATGGCAGCTAATATTTTGGTGATAGTTCGCTGAGGAAAATGCTAGTCCGTTATCGAAGGCTTCGTCTTGACTTGACCCCGAGCCAAAGATGGAGCCGTGATACCATATCGCAAGTGAGAGCCGTGTTGCAAAACTATTTTATTTTTTGCCGGCTTTCGCAACCAAACGAGCCTTCTCCTTCTCCTCCTTTTGCAGCGCATACTTCTCGCGTTGGCGCTCACGGCATCGAAGACACTTGGTGGCAAGGCCCTTATCACCGAATGCAGCCCATGGACGGAAATTCTTGCAACCTTTGCACCATTTGATTTCCAATCCTGTTGTGACCACAACCCATACATTGACATCGCAGAGAGTACAGAGCCCCTTGTTTTGAGTGGGAATGATTGCGTAGCCGCCCTTGTCTCCCATCATGTCTTGTCCGTTGCTATTTCTTGGAGCAAGGCTGCCATCATTGTTCTTTGAACCCTTTGGACCTCCTCCCTTCTTGTTCTTGTTGCCAGAGGAGCATGGACAGGCTTGTCCACACATCACGCAACAGCGCATGCCATCGGGTAGGTTCACGGCTTGTTTTTGAGACATGTGTGCAGGGAAGTTGACCAGACTGGTAAACTCGGGTACTTGAGCCGTCTTGACTTTCTCAATGTCACTAAGATTGGAGAAGAAGCGAAGTGGGAGATGTAAGTTACATCCGGGGATCACAGAATGCCTCGAAATGGAAAACATAGCATTGACTTACCCTTGGAACTTCGACGGAATAGGTGGTTTCAAAGGAACGCACTTCCTCTTTGACTGCGACATGTTCATTGGGGACATGTGCAGAGGGCTTCCCAGTGGTGGCATTCCTCCGTGGTGTGGGCTCCAAAGACCAGCCTTCCCTGGGCCGACTCCCATTGGTGACGTCAATGGTAGATGAGACGACATTGGGGGAGGGATATGAAGAGGCATAGGAGCGAGATGGTGCCCAGGAGGAACTCGTCTGCTCATGGAAGAACACAAGTATGTTTAGATTGCATTGAATCGAGACTCGTTCGGCTGATAACTCGTGTGCCACTTACCCTCGCAAACTGCGAACACGATCATGACCAGGGTGCCCATACATGGCACTCGAAGGGAAGAAGTCGTCTCTGTGCCTGTCTCCCCCGTGAAGTGGGCTCCTCACAAAACCGTCGTCGCGCCCGAATTCGGAAGCTGCGAACAATGGCGTGGGTGGCAGACCCATTGGCGGCCCACTGTCCATCCCGGAACCAACCGGTGTCGGTGCGCCATGGTCCTTCGACCAAAAGTGGTGCATATGCCCCTTTGGACCCTTTTCAGCGCTACCCCTGCCCCCATTGGATACGAAGATATGGTGGATGTGCTCGGGGTCACCACTCTTGCTAGATTTCTTTCTTGAAGATCGTGATGACTGTTCCGTTCGGTTTTCCCTTTCTTCGGAAGACGGTTGATCAAAGAAGATGGGCAAGGGAGTGGTTGTGCCACTCAATGTGCCTTCCGCCATTCCAAGTTCAGAGTGCGGGGTAAGAATGGATAATCGGATGCTGTCCGCATCTCCACTTCTTTGACTCTTAATGTTTTCGTCCTCGTTCCACATTGAGAATGAATGAGGACTAATTGCCATGTTTCGGGAATTGCAAGAAGTTGTAGAGTTGGGCCGTTTCTTTTCATCTTTGAGTTGGCCACCGCTGGAAGAAGTCGCATGTTCTTCCCACTCTGCGAGATCACCCAGAGAGGGTGTATCTCCAGCAATGCTCCACGACAATTGTGGCGCAATGGATCCAAAGGCACCCATGTTCGACGGGGACTCGGCGGCGCTGGTACTGTCACCAAGTGCGCCCATGTGGTTGAGAGGAGTGAACGACTGACCACGCAGGTGTCGATTAAGCATGGAATGCTCGTCTGTCATCATCTCGCTCTCCACCATGCCACCGGGAAGAGGTGGCGTAGGTGTATCTGTTGGCCGATCCATCATCTTGGAGTTGCCGTCTGCGCTAGGCTTTCGAGCAACAGAAGCATGCTGTTTCATGTACGAAGACGATGGCTCTTCGTTGGGCTCTGGATCATGCTTGGAGGAGGATGACTTGGCTGCAGGCGTTTTCTTGGTGTTCTTGCTGATCGGGGTAGCATCAATATCTGTTGCATGATTTATTGGCGAAGTAGACAAAGAAAGGAACAGAGAAGAACCGTTCTCTCCACCGCTTGCTTGACTTGCACCATCAATGCTTTGTCTTGACTCGCGATCTTCCATTGTCAGTTGCTCGAAACGAGTGGTCTCGGTGCCATCAATGGAGTGCGAAGACGACGATTGTGGTCGTTGGTGTCGAGCAATGCTGCTGCTGCTATTGTTGTTGCTGCTGCAGTTTCCAGTGTCGACAACCAATACTTTGGAATCCTCTCCCTTTCTTCGCTTGGGCGATTGCTTCATCATGGGTGCGTCATCATGTGATCCCATCGGATGATCCATGCTTCCTGCCCCTACATTTGAACGACAAACCAAGAAAGAAAAAGTGAGAAGAGTGCTTTGCAGAATACCACAAGCATCACTATGATGATAAAACGCGTACCACGATCATGGGATGAGAGAGAGAACCCACCCACACTCAAGCTGGACGTGGTGGATGCACCCGAGTGATCTCTACGGTGATGCGGAGCGAAGCGTCGGCTACCCTCTTCGAAGCTAGCATTGTGAGACGGGTGAGAGAGAGGCGGAAGTTCGTGCATTCGATCACGTTTCATATTATCGTCATTAGAAGTCGCATTTGTTTCGGAGCTGGTGTTGTTACCTGCCGTCACTGTCGTACTGGAACTAGCTGAGCTATTGGTACGACGAAAGGAATATGCGGACGGCAGATCTTGAGGATGGTGATGATGGTGGTGGTGGTGATGGTGCGGACCAATTTCATGCACACCATCTATTGTCCTCTTCTTTCGTCCTCCGCTCTTGGAGCTTTGTGACTTGGATTTTCTATCTGGTGCACTGGATTTGCTCTTGTTGGAAGAAATAGAGTTGTTTTCATTCATTGGTATTGATGGGTTGCTTCCTGGATAAGGTGGTACAGCGTGGTATGGCATAGGAGGGCCACTCATGTAGTGACCATAAGGCACGCCATAACCTGCTCCTGGATGCCTCCCGCCCATGCTGGGTGGAGGCGGTGGTCCATAATGTCCATTTGGGCCTGGTGGCCCCCCATAGTGTCCTCCCTGATGATGCAAGGGAGGCATCTGATGAAAATGGGGCGGCGGGGGTGGACCCCTGTAATGATCAGGTGGAGGGCCACCTGGATACCCATAGTGAGGAGGCGGAGGTGGGCCTCTCGGTCCTCCGTGCATTCCCGGTGCCGAGTAGGGTCCTCTGCTCGGATAGGGGTATCGTTCATGAGGATATCTCGCGGTGTTACGACTGCTGCTACCCGAAGATGAAGAGCTCTTCTTGGACTTGGACGATCGCTTCGATGATGGCGCAGGGTCTCGCGAAGGTTCTCGCGTTGGTACGCCGTGACTGTGGCTGTGTTCCCCTGCAATTGGTGCTGCCACTCCCCCATCTTTGTTCGTGTCATCCCTGTGTTCTTCCTTAACACGAATAACTTCCTTTGGCTTGTTGTTGTTGCTGTTGCTGTTGCTGGGAGGCACGGTTGGCTTTGCTGTATCCCCCTTGGGTTTGCTACTATCGTCTGTCTTAACAGCAATAGTGCTGCTGTTGCTATTGCTACTGCTAACCGTACTGCTGCAAGCGTTGTTGGCGGTGCTGGTGGATCCCTCTGATGGCTTCATTTTTCCCGAGATAATGAATGAACTGATTGATGATGATTTGTGTTGTTGTTGTTATGAGTTATGCTCGTTGACTTGAGAAAGATGACAAATAGACATTCAAGCCAGAAACAATATAGATAATAGAAAGGATCTAGGGTAGCGTTGTTTGTTGCATCAAGACGTCTTTGTGGTTGTCTTCTTGATCGACGACGGCGACAGGGAGGCCAGAAGGAGAGGAAGATGAATGAATGCCCAGAGGTGCGGCAAAACCAGCAATTTGTGAAGGGCCCTTGACTATTTTGGCCGGTTGTCGGTTGCTCGCGCAAGGACGTCGGGCTAGCCTCTAAGTGTTGTAAACGGATGAAGCCGATATCTACCGTTCTGATGGCAAGGCACTTGTTCGTAAGCCGGGCATCGACGTTGTCGCCAAATTTCACCGTCCCGACTCTAATTACACCAAACCGATTTCATGTGGCAGTTTTTTTGGCGCAACTCTCTGGAATCGACCTGATTGGGAGTGGCTACCGGACGACACGACCGTCGACAGCTTCGGGTTGTTGCCTGTTGCTTCTATGATAAAGAAAGGGGCTACATCAGCAGCTTACAGCTAGCTAGCAGCTAGCTATGATAGCAGCTTAGCTCCGTAGGTACCAGGTACGCATGATCAATCACGCTTATGCCAACCTCCAAGTCTATGTATGAGTATGTCATAGCTCTCGCTCGCGGTGGTGGGAGGAATCTATCATCAATGCAAAAAGGCATTTTTGTGGAACCCAACTATGGCTAGAAGACCACTAGACTGGTTATCGAATCCGCGATGAGAGATGCGAAGCCGTGTTTGCATGCAGATACCGGTAGGTCGAGGAAGCTACAGCATCATAGCTGGTTCCTTCTTGCTTCTCATTTCCTCTAAAGGGGCTACCGGTATGCACGTCCCTCTACTAGAAGGATTTGCAGGTCTAGTCAAAGCATAGGCAGGATATTGTCGTCACGCACCTCTGGAGCTGTCGGTAGAGGAAGGCAAACAGAGCACACCCAGACTAAAAGTCAGCCTTGTTGGGTACTACCGTATCCAAACTTGCCTTTTGGTCCCATGCAAAGCACATAGTTTGACAGAAGTATTTGCATAAACCCAAGCTCAAGCTGCAAGAACGATCGTACCGTATGGCAAGAAGTTTACGGGTAGCATTTAGTAGCTATGCATATCATAGTTTCAAGCATGACAAAGCTCATGACACTGAAACTGAAAGATCATTACCACCAATTCTGGGCTGCGTCTCGTCGGCTGCAGCTGTGGCTTCGCTGGGCCAGAATCTTGCGTAGCTGGAGCTTTCGACTGTGCTCGTGGAGTGGTAGCCAAATTTAGAGCTCCTGTGCGTCTTTACTAGCGAAAGATACCCCGTGCATGATTGTCGATTGCGAAGATGATTGAATCGAATCGATTGGTTCCCTCTCCATTTCATGGATACTTTCCTTGTAGCACCTCTCTATTCATTTATCTTAGCTAGCTAGCTAGTGCGTGCGTAGTTAAACAGCGCTCTGTATGAATGATCAATCCAACGATACATAGCAGTAAAAGAAACGTACAGTACTAGTAGGAAAGCCGAGACAGTCAGTACCAACGACCTGAGCAGGAAACAAGATGAAGGCGATTGGAAGGAAGGCATTACGCATCCGACGGCATCATGGGCGAGTGCCCGGCTTTGGGGTCTCCATTCCAGCTGCGTGTACTTCTTCTGCAGCCCTTCGCTGTCTTGCATCCAATCCTCTCCAGACGACTTTCGTCGCTGCGAATAGAGGTAGCGACTCCAGTTGTCTGTCCTCCGTGGCATCCTTTTCCACTTCCACCCGGGAAGAAGTGGAAGACTTGGTGTCGGATATCCCTTGTGATGATGATGATGATGATGATACTACGGAGCAACTATTGAAGGAAATCAGCGTTTGGGCTCGGAATCGTCAGCCCCAAAAAGCTCAACACATACTCGAGGAACGAACTCGACATTTGAAAATGTCGGAATCTGACCTGACCAAATGCTACAATTGCATCTTGCTAGGTTGGTCCGTTAGCAGAGATGTGGATGCCGCTGAAATGGCTCAACAAGTACTGGAATCCATGCCCGTGCCTCCTTCCTTGATTAGTCTGGGTTATGTCTTGGAATCTTGGTCCAAATCCAAACTTCGAAAGCGTACCAGTAAACTGGCCGGACAACGAGCCGAACAATTGTTGAGAAAAATGCAGTCCATGGGACTACAAGATCAGCAACAAGCCTATCATAATGCCCTAAAGGCATGTGCCAAAGGCGCGGATGGATACCGTGCTCTGAAATTGCTGAGGGAACTAGTACAACTACAGTTGAAATCCGACAATCCACTGCGTTTGGGAAGGCATGTTCTGTCCACTGTATTGATGGCACTCAAGTCACAGCCACAAGAAGCAGAGGAGCTGTTGGAGTCGTTGCACAATAGCTTTGGTGTGAAACCAGATGTTGTCCATTATGCAATCGTGCTGGATGCTTGGGCAAATAATCGCAACCCTGCCCGAGTGGAAGCTCTCATCAATCGAATGATGGTGGACGGAATCAAAGTGGATGCTAGCGCCTACAATTCCTTGTTGCATGCATCGAGGGACAATCTGGACCGCATGGAAGCGCTGTTTCGAGCCATGGTCGATGACTATATACAGTGCCCGTATCGGGACAACAATAACACAAACGATCTTGACGACAAAACAGCAGCAGAAGAACGCAGTAGTGCACCCATTGGAAGCGCAGTCAAGCCCACTGTAGAAGGCCTGGGTAGAGTTTTGGCGGCCATGGCACACAACAGAGAACCCCACCGCGCAGAAGCTCTTTTACAAACAGTCATCAACGATACAAGAGTCCGCTCCTTCTTGCAACCCAATCTTCAATGTTTCAGTAGTGTCATCAATGCCTGGGCAAGAGCGAAACAACCCCAGCGTGCTGAAGACCTGTTGCGGCATATTCAGAATGCAGGCTACGACGTCAATATTGTGGTGTACACAACAGTGATGCATGGATGGGCGATTGTCGGAAATGTCCAGCGAGCTCAAGCCCTGTGGATTGAAATTCTTAATCATGACAATCTGCGTCCCAACCTCAATACATTGAATACGTTGCTTTTGGCCTATTCCAATGCCAGGCCAAAACCCCAGCCGGAGCAAATGGACCAGGTAATGCGGCGTGCAGCAGAGGAATCGAACGTGAAACCCGATACCGCCAGTTACACTATGCTTCTCCGGGCCTGGGTGGCTGCCGGCAGGCCAGAAAAGGCAAGGGCCTTGTTGGATGAATTGAGGGAAAAGGAACAAATCGAGAGCAGCGTCCTTCTCGACACTGTCACCTTCAACACTGTACTTCATGCATACTCCAAAGGAGGGCTGCCAATGGAGGCCGAAGAACTGCTGAGTATGATGCTCCAAAATGTACAAGTGGAACCAAATGCGCAAACATTTGCCCTAGTTCTATCGGCATACACACGATCCAAGAACCCCAAACATAAGCAAAAGTCAGTGAAACGAGCCGAGGAACTGGTCGAAAAGATGGAGGAAATGGACATTGCACCCAATGGCCACCTGTTCAACGTAATGCTGAATTGCTACTCTACCAGTGGATTTCCAGAACGAGCCGAAGCAGTATTGAAACAAATGATTGAGCGCAATGCTACTGAAGTCGATGTTGTGTCCTACAACACGTGTCTCTACGCCTGGGCACGGGCAGGGTGTCCCCATCGAGCCGAACATTTGTTGCTTTACCTTGCAACGCACGACTCTGGCGGTAGACCGCCGCTGGATGTCCAAAGCTTCAGCATTGTCATGTTTGGCTGGGCAAAGCAGGGCACTGTGGAATCCGCCAAGCATTGCGAAGAGATTTTGCGACATATGCAAACCTTAGAACCCAGCTGCAAGCCAGATCAAGTCTCGTACAACACTGTGCTTCGCTCGTGGTTGAATGTGGGGCTGAAGAACTCGGAGAACCATGAACTTTGCCTTCGGTGCGCTGAACGAGCCGATATCTTGCTTTCCGAGCTCGAAAAGTTGTATCAGACACAACCGTCCAACCAGTTCCGGCCGGACCGACTTTCCTTTACACCAGTGATTCGTCTGTGGAAAATGGGACAGAACGGGGAACGAGCCAAACAGGTGGAGGCTCGAGCTCGAGATTTACGGGTTCTATAGGATACGAGCATTTGTATCAACAACTAACTAATAATAGTGGGCATTGTCAAGACTCGATTTCTCGCCATCCAAAAGCTGCGAGATGCATCCGAAGCAAAAACGAGTATCGAATTTGACTTCTGAAGTAATCAATGAGAGTAATGTCCTTCATGATCTATGTTCCACTGATGCAGATGCCATAGTGGAACAAGGGTATGTTGGTGCGATTCATCGAGTGGATGAAATCGCCCTGGGGTTTGGTTTGCTCAGAAGTCGTGGCTCGTTCTTCCAGTCCCTGTCAAGGTCTAACCACGCAGCTAGATCTTGTTCAGTTTCCTTCTGCTCGAGTTTGTCTTCTGCAACCTTATGAACATCCTCATCCAGTTGGCCCACAGCACGTTTGAAGCAATTCCTTGCCCCACATCACAGCAAGCACCATAGATACCGTAGAAATTTACCCCAGCTTCGGGAGATTCACGGATATCAATCCCGCGAGAAACGAGGACACAGGCCGAAGATACCACAACCACTTCCCATGCTAGCACACCCACTTCCCATGCTAGCACACCCACTTTCTTCTTTGGATATCAAGCCCATGTATGTATCGGTATACCCATGGCGCAATCACGGCGATCAGTTGTGATGTTGGCCTTGGCCATTGCGTTGGGTTTGCGCTTGATGGAGTGGATTGTGCTGGGTGGTCCAACAGGAACAGGAACAGGAATAGGAATAGGAACAGGAAAAGCAACCGTGGTATCATCAGACTGCTCCTCTGATGCTGCAAAGAAAAAGACGTCCTCATCATCCACACCTCGTCCTCGGGGTCTTCGACTGGTCTTGATGGGAGACTCCTTGACTCGATATTCCTACCTGAGTTTAGTCTACTTTTTACGTTGGGGCACTTGGTACGATCCCGACTGGCACACGCCACATCTAGTCCAAGCATCGAGTTTCGACAATATCTTTCACAATCAAACCTGGGGAGAACATTCCTGGCAAACCAATCGCATGCTGTGGCCCAACGAACTCTGCGATTGTTTTCGCAAAATGCCTGGAGCCGTACAAGTCAACAAGGTGGTCAACAATCGATACTTTTACGATCCTGCGTACGACAATTCCGTCGTCTATTTGGATGCCAAAGGACACAAGGGAACACTACACGGTCGCATTGCAGCACAAAATGTGTCTCGCTTGCTCTATCAGCAAGGTTTGGCAGCCATCAAACTAGGGCCATCTCCTGTGCTGCCACCCATGGACAAGCTCCAGAGACCGTTTGCCTGGGTACACAAATCATGGAGCGATGCCATTTCCAATTATGTCGCACAGTTGGATCCACCACCCAATCTCATCATTCTGAATGCCGGACTCTGGCCCAACAATTTTCTATATCAGCACGACCTGATCGATGACATGGTCCGAGCCTTGCCATCCAACACCAAGGCCATGTGGAAAACCACCAGTTTTGGAAAGGGTGGCAAAGTACTGCACAAGAGCATTCCAGAAACGGATGCATTGCTGTGTTCCAAGCTACACAGCTGCTGGAATCAAAGTTGGACGCAACACGTGACAGCCAAGTACTACTGGGATGACAAACACTTCTTCGAGCCGGTCTACCGAATCATGAACGAAGATTTGTTGGAACAAATCGGGTCTCTACCCGAAGGCTATCAGCGATTGGATCGGTCCGTTCTGTTTCAGAAATGAATGGATAGCATACTCTTGACTGACTGCAAGAAAGAGTTGCGACAGAAACGACAGCAGTTATCCTGCAAAAAGCTGTCGGACTATGCCTGACTCCTCCCCGCCATGAAAGCGGGAAATGAGGATGGTGCCATACAACCGCGAATCATTCATTGGTCGACTTGTTTGTATCACGTTGCGGTTCCCCTGCACAGGATTGATCGACTGGCAAACGGCAAACGGCAAGCGCCACCATATGAAGAGGGCGGAAGCACCAGGCTGCACTATTCAATCTCTTGGCTTTTCGGACTAAACACGCCGGGAGGAAGCAGGCATACAGCGCAACCCCCAATGACGGCTCAGACGGCGACATACAGCCGGATTTGATTTTCTTGAGTACAATACCGGTACAGTGAGCAACGAGCGAGGTGCGTAGCTCAAAGACTCTGGTGGTGCGACAATCTTCCGTGGATGCCTGGCCATGCACCAAAGGATCAGCTAGACCATCCATGATGCTGCAAACTGCAAACAGTATCTTCGAAGAGAGGACGTGATGATCATTCACCTGTCCACTTTTTGCAACATAATGCAAAGTTATGGACGTAACCTCGGATATCGCTGTCTTCGAGGCCAGTTTCAAACGAGTCGAGTCGTGTGAGCTAGCTAGCTAGTAGAAATATTCACAATCATGATGTCTTCAAAAGAGCTGTGCATTATCCTTTATTCTGGGTACAGTAAATGCAATCACTGAAGGCTTCCACAGCCATCAGTTGCTATCTTCTGTCCGTATGCACAATCTTTAGAAGCTGTTCGCGTCAACGTTCATTGGCACCAGTGGTGGTGGCTCGTCCTTGCACCGTGGAGGAGACCTGCCCCTGCCTGTGATTGTCATTGAGTGACCGCTACCCGAGGGCAAGGTGGAGTTGTTGCTGACACATTGACTAGCAATCTGGTCATATCTATCATCCCGTCGGGTATACTCAGTCATGTTGCTATTCATAGATGCGGTCATGGCCGTAGCCGCTGACGCATTCATCACCTGGACAGTTACCTTGCCTGCTACCACGGGCGCCGGTGACGTTGTCGAAGTTGTCGACATTTTCAATGCGTTCTTCTGGTCTTGCTTGTTCGCAGAGACTCGAAACGTCTTTTCTTCCCTTTCCTTATTCTTCACGTTGCCTCCTTTGAGCATCTTGAAGAGCTTCTTGACAGGGTTCTTTGTCTTGCTCTTTTGCTGGTTGCTGCTGCGATCAACCATCAAATAAGAAGCCTCTGTCTGCTGGGTGCTGGTGCTTGTCCGCACAGGACTCAGGCTGCGTGTTTGTCGACCGTTGCTTCTCTTGGTGGGCTTGTTTGTGTTTGTCAGGATGGCATCATCATCATGTTGCTGCTGCTTGACTTTTGCAGCTGCCTTCCATGCTTGTTTGCGATGTGCCCTGCTACTGGAGTCGTCCAAAGTGTGGGTAGCCGTCACCTCAATAATTGGGCGATCCAGTGGCTCCAGTTTTGCCTTTTGGACGATGGCTTTGTTCTTTCCTACTGAACTTGAAAAAGCGCGATTGTCTGCAACCTCTGTAAGTTGAGTATCCGTGGTAGTTTGCCGGTTGAGCGCGCTGTGAAACATTTGGTCCAGTGACTGTGACATGTTGGCATCACGTCCAGCAGAGTCATCCTTGATTGGTACTTGATACTCATCCATTTCCTCCTCTTCTTCATGAAAGGATGGTTGACGACGAAAATGATTGCCACTCGAGCTGTCTTGCCCCAAGCTAGCATCACGTAAATCCACCCCCGAACACCCGATAGTGGACAAAGATACATCCAGGTCATTGACCCCTTTGTCATTCCCATTGTTATTGAAGAAGAGAAGCATATTCTCATAATTGGATGGATGTGCACTGGGATCCAGTTCATCTTCCAACAATGACGCCTTGCCAGGGTTTCCAAAGGTCGGTGGCAGGCTGGAATCCAACTCCGTCTTTGGGTTGCTTTGATTTGCGGACGCCAACGACCTGACTTCATCCTCCATCTTTTCGGCAATTTGCAACTTCAATTGCGTATTGACCTTGGCCAACAGACTCTGGAGCCGACATCCACAAATGGGACAGTTCTTGTTTCCCATACCAATCCATTCCGAAAAGACTTTTTGGGAAAGCGTATGCCTGCAGCATGCTCGGACGGTGACCGGGTCCACCATGACTTGCTTGGACACGGGACAAATAGCCCACTTTGGCATTTTTGCTATCTGCGTGCAGACTGTCGAGGCATCCCAGGTTGTGTAGGAAGCATCTCCATCCAGTGTCATGGCGGTGTAGGAGGATGTATCCAACATACTATCCTGATGTTCCTGTGTCAGTGGCGCATCGGCGAGTTTTGTCATCAAATGCCCCATGTACTCGAGCGACTGTTTGGCTCGTTCTCGTTTGGTCTCGTCTTTGGTTTCATCGACAGCCTTTTGGAAGAGTTTTCGCTTGTGCCGTTGCAGCACTCGTATCAGCTCTTTGGCTCCGGCATCGAGATGACTTTGCAGCATGGGAGGGAGCGGTGTGGTGGGATGGACTAGACGGGCCTTGTCAAATTTGGCGCGCTCTTGGAGAAATTCCAATTGAGACTGCTGTTGCTTCCACGTCTTGACACCTTGTTGTGATGATGTTGACGTAGTGATCATCTGCAGCAGAGTCAAGTAAATGTCGTCCATGGCGTTGATGAGGTCTTGAAGCACGGTGGAGATCTCAATGAACAGTACCACTGGATGGAGTTTGACCATGCGCTTGACCATCGCGGCAATCTTCTTGGTGTCCTTGAGCAGTGACAACAAGACGGACTCTTCGTTGTTGGTAGCCACGTTCCGTGTTTGCTGGCTGACAGTCTCCATGAGTTGTTGAATGATGGACCAGCATGGCACTGTCAGTGCTTCGGATTCTTTCTGCTGAACTACTTGTTCTCGGCATTGCTGATGTACGTAGCTAGCAACCGCTAGAATCTGGCTCTGGGTGTCTTTGAGTGCTGCTTCGGTGTCCTCGTCGTGTCTGACAGCACGAACTTCCTTTGTCTCTACTGGTCGATGCCGCTGTGGAGAATTGTTTTGCGCGGCAGAAGACTTCTTGACACGCCACATGTTGGTGGCTCTGCATGTGTTACTAGACTTGTACATGATGGATGTTTCTGTTGTTGCTCGCTGGATTATTTGTGAGCCATACAAGGAAGCCGCCAACCTTTTATTCAGGGGATCACTACTTCTTGGGTGGATCACTTCCTTTGCTGCGCTTCTTCTTCTTTTGCTGCTATGCTGCTATGCTGCAGGATCAACCAAAAATGTGGGACCCTGTGAAACAGAGAGGCATCTCACTGTTCGAAGCAATATCGGATGCTTTGGTACTCTTTGGTCGACCTGGCCCATATGCCATCGCTCATTCCTTATTCCTTCCGCTGTCGTGTCGAGCTTGTGTCTCTGCAGCCTTGTCGTGGCTGGATCTTGCGCTTTCCGGCAGTCCCAGTTGCCGATTTGGGGCTTGGGCCTTGGACTTCTCTAGACTTCTAGCGAAGATGAGCCATGGGCGATGTTACCATAATTACATGTACTCAGCTGCCACTGACTCTTTCTTCTTTCGCGAATTCATACGACTTACCAGGTAACAGAGTACTGTAAATGATCAAGTCAAATAAATCCTACTGTAGGCAAGATGTTAAATCATGTAGACAGAACAAGCTCACAAGACCTGAATGGATCAATAAGATGATTTAATGTCGTGCTCCGATGTTGTACTGGTGTTACCTTTGGTGTAACTTGCTACCGTTCCTAATTACTTAGACTACTTCCGTACACTGTACTTACTCGAGTATTGGTGTCAAAAGATTGCGCATGATTGCATGTCGCATGCGATGCCAAGGGCTGACTCCCACCTCCAATAGAGCTCGGAAAATCGATTGGATGCTATTGTGGCCCAGCAAAGTGGTACTGTAATATTAATAGTGCAGCACGTAGCAGCCACCAGGCCAGGCAAAGCCTCGTTGTAAAGTTGGCTGAGACTTATTATTGTCTCTGAGCAGCGGAAAATAGATGGTTGTCAAACCGCGCAGCTGCATTTAAGATTCATCATGACACCGGCAGCCTCGGTTGCTCGTTGGATCGGAATAGAGCGAAACCACGGACATTACAGCTTACGTTTCGGTAGCTTGCTAGCTAGTGGGGAAGTTGCCGTGCAATGGTGTCTCCATCTAAGATGAACGAGTCACAGCAGAAGAGGGACAATGGGCCGGTTACGTGACATACCGGTACGCAACTTTCATGGATGATCAGCGCGCCACCCGTGGAACCAAGAAGGCTAGCAATAGAAGAGAATGATGAGAACACTATTGGCTTCAATAGCTCGAAGGTGCATGAGTTATGCTTGTACTGGAAGTGCTGTTACAAATTTTAAGTGTACTGCCTACCGACTTGTCGTTTTCAGGGTGTGAGCGAGCTGGTGCTGGTATCGCCGGTGGTTCGGGTGCCATCATTGGACGAGTTGGCTTGCTGGCATTATTGGCGTTGTTTCCTTCCCATTGGGGTGTATGTTACCGTTGTTGGGTTGGTACTTGACAATGGCGGACTCTCCAGGTTGGAGTTTTCTTTAGCAGCGCCCCCCGCACATGTTCTCCACGGTGGCTTTTTCATTGTGGTCCTTGTGGCGGTTGCGGAATGCCATGCTGGTGTGGGTGATGTCCCATTGGAGTCCACGTGAGAAACAGTGCACCAATTCTTTCCCATTGTGACACTTACTTAGTTCAGTCACTTTTTGCTAAAATCGTTGATTTGATGATGTACTGGTTGGTGTTGTGTTGTTGTTAGTTGGCTTTGTTGGCTCGGTGGTTGTCAGTACAAAATCTGGCATCTTTGGTTGTGACTGTGCGGAGGCATTCCGTGTTGGCTGCGGTGAAGTTGGTTTGGAAGTTGTGCCAAGTGCAGTCTGCTGCCGGTATGGATATCCTAGTGGGAAGACTCCACTGTTTTCAAGGTTCTTAGCCAGATTGAAGTGCGGCTCTTTCGGTGATTTCGTCGCGGCCACGTGCACAGGCTTGTGCTTTGTTGATTTGGTTGAAGAGTAGACTAGTTCAATTGGTTGGTTGGTGTCCATGGTGGGTTCATGCGTTCGACGTTTTTGTTGAGGTCCTCATTGTTGACGGTTTTGTAAGCTTCTTTGATGAGGTGTTGGATGAGGTCAATGTATTGGAGGTGCAAGTAGCCTTCATCGGGATCTTTGAGTACTTCGTAGTAGACTTCTTCTACATGTACTGCTACCATGGCCTCTTGAGGATAGTTTTTCGGCGGATTGCCTGAATTCGTGGAGTCGTACTGGCGGTTGGCTACAGATTGGTTCATTTGTGCTTCGGTGGCTCCGTCAGGTGTGCTGCGCCTGTTGCCTGGATTTGGTGCTCTTGCGTTGTAGTCTTCTAGGGTGTATAGAAGATGACCTTCATTGCCTGGTCCTCTGGGGCTCTGACTGTAATAATATACGCGACCCCTATTATGTTGTAAGCACCTTTAGAAAGACAAAAGACAGAGCTCCAGAGTCCAGAGTACCATGGTACCGGTACAGGTAGTCTAGAGAAAGGAGGGCCAAATCCTTGGATCAGGTTGAATGATTCAATCGAATCGAATCATTCGATTTCGAATGATTGAATGAGAATGATTCGATTCAATCATTCGATTCGATTCGATTCGATCGTGAGTGATGGTGGAGGTCGAGTCGAGTCTCAGTCGAGTGACGAGCGAGTGAGTGATGGGTCGAGTCGCGTCGACTATGCGCGTCGAGTCGAGTCGGAGGTTCTTGCTCTCGTTTCAACCGGCACTCAACTCTATTTCTTCGGAAAATCTTGGCAGATCCACGTCAGTCTGCACCTTCATTTTTGTTCATTGCTTTTGCAGAACCAGCACACGGCACGAGTCGAGTCAGAACAACTGTCCTCTATCGTATTTCGACGCTAGACTACCGTACCTTCTTCGAATGCATCGGCAATCGATCGAGTGACGGAGACCTTTCCACAGCACCCATCTGTTAGAGCACACAACATGTGGCCAGCAGCAGTAACAACAAGGCTCCCTTGATCTCCATCAAGCCACTGTTGTTGTCAACATGCCGCCTCAAGAGCAAGTGGTATCGCCAGATACCGGTACCTCGTGGGATAACGATGATAGTCAAGCCGGTCGACAAAGATCTTCTTTCAGCAAGAATGAATCCACCATCAACGTTAGTAACGCCAACCTGGATTCTATGGAAAACCTAGATCCTTTTGAGCCTATCCAAAGGCGTAGCATCTTCCACAGGGAATCTTTCTTGATGCAGTTTGCCTCCAAGAAGGGACCTCGTGCCATTTTTCTGTTGCTCATGTGTTTGGCCCTCGGGGTGGGATCCACTATTGGAGTAGTTCCAGCTGTCATGACAGATCGATATGCCAGATTACAGCATGGCTACGATGATCCCACGGATTGTGCTGACTACGACATGAACTCCAAACCCCAGGAGTGCCTCGATGGTAGTGCTGATGCTCAGAATATCCACGCCATAGGCAACCTGATCAGCAACATTTTGACTTTCACGACCAGTTCGTTGATGGGCTCTTTGAGTGACGAATATGGAAGGCGATGTAAGTTTTGCTTCCTCTGAACCTGTCGACTTCGAGCGAGCTTGGGTTTGCTCCAAATCCAAGTCAACTAAGATCTCCCCTTTGCAAAGCGCTCCTGGTGGTGGGAGTTTTCTTTAGTTGCCTGCCGCCTCTCTGTTTGGTTCTGATTCAGTTCATCCCCACGATGAATCCAACGTGGTACTATGTTGTCAGTGCCTCCACAGGCCTCGTCAATTGGATTGCATTGTGTATGTCGGCGCTCGCCGATGTCATGCCACCTGAATGGAGGGCAGCCAGCTTTGGATTGCTCCTGGCTGGTCTCTCGTTGGGATTTGCAGGGGCGCCTACCTTGGCCATTCTGATGGGACATCGCCAGGTTTCCATCATGGGTTTTTTCATGGTGTTTCTGGGTTGGCTCAATACCCTGTTCTTCTTTCCAGAGACGTTGAGCCCCGAGAAAGCAGCAATGGCGTCTGCGGTGCGCAGGTTGCAAGTGGAAGGAATGACCAAGAAGGAGCGGATTATCTGGAATCTCAAACGGCCCGCATGGGAGCTCTCCATTCTGAATCGCAATGACTTTTTCCGCCTCTTGGCGGTTCTAGCCTTCTTTTCGGGGATGGTCAGTTCTGGGGATCAGACCCTCTTGGTGTACTACCTCGAAGAGCGCCTGGCGTTCAAAGATTCCGACGTCGCAACCATGTTTATGATCAACGGGCTGTTGGGGGTATTCGCACAGGCAGCGATCCTGAAACCATCGATTGACTGCATCGGAGAAAGGATGGTCCTCGCCTGTTGCTTTGTGCTGGGCGCCATCGACAACTTTGTAAGCTTGATTGTTACGTCTCGTCTTGTTGCGTTTGGAAAGGGAGCCGCTAACTTCGCGTCATTCCTGCCTCTTAGATGTACGGAATTGCCAGGGATAAGTCAGTCATCTTTGCGGCCGGAGCAATAGGTGCCCTGTCAATGGTGTCGTTTCCGACCATTTCTGCCATCAAGGCCAACAACGTTGTATGTTCGATGTCGTGCCTTTTAAACAGTCTACCAACAGATCCGTCAGCTAACTCTTCCTTTCATCCCTCTAGAATGAATCGGAGCAGGGACGCATTCAAGGTGCCCTTTACTCTGTACAAGCTCTTGCCTCAGGAACTGGCCCAATGTTGATGAGGTTTGTGTATCACTTGACAGTAGACGGCGCATTCCTAGGACCTGGTTCCATGTTTGTGTTCGCGTCTGGGTTGCTTATGATTGCATCTGGATGCGCTTATGCTCTCCCAAAGAGCAAAGCTGACTCGAGGGCTTCTCGCCGTCGATCGCAACTCCCCAACATATTCGAAGATTTTCCGGAGGCCGAAGACGAGTCCACGCCATTCGTCGACCCCACAGCTCGCGACTCGTCTTCTTCGTCAGGATCCTATGGAACAGAAATGCCTTAGGAACTGCCGATCAATCATTCATAACCTCTTAGAGTAGTTCCATTACACGGGGCCAATCCAAAGTTTTGCGCGCTTTGAACCCTAGATTTACTGGTTCCTTTGTCATCGCATACTCCTGTCCATATCAACGCCTCTCGTGAAGCTTTACCCCGGCTTCTTTTCTCACAGTAGAGGAAGCCTTTGCAGGTGTTGGCCGCAACGCAACGGAAACTGGTTGGTAGGGAAGGCTTCTTCTGGGATAAATCTAAATATGTCCTTTGCTGAAGGGCTCCACTCATCCCCTGCGGTTGCGACACTACCATGTTCCGTCGGTTGGGTCCTCAAGTGAACATTCTTTCGTGGTAAACTGAATATCCAGCACTGGCTCATCGGGTCAGAAAGCTTTCGTTATCGAACAGCTGAACCCAGGCATGACGGGTAAAGTGCGATATTTCGTCGAATCATATTCGCACCACTGCCACAATCCAGTGCAGTTGCGGCGGAACCGTATCTTCGGTTGTCGCCTCCTGTGGTTTGCCCTGCTGATGCGAAATCTCCTTTTCCAACGAATCGAGCTTGGTCTCCCACCATTGAAAGCAAGCTTCGGTGACAGTTTGAAGATGTTCGTACGGACATGATGCATCAGCATCAAAGTTGTCATGGTTCCAGAGCTCACAAACGTTCTCCATGCTGGTCGCCTCGGCAAAAGGACAGTCACCTTCAACATCGGCAGTGATGGCCATTGGGTGGTGGTCTGAGGATGCCGTCGTGTCAGTCTTTTCCTGCCATTGCTTGTAGCAAAATGATACTGAGTACACTGTTGGTTGCGGTGGCTGCTGTGAGAAAAAGTCCGAAATCTTGATCCAGTCTTTTACAATCTTGGCATAGTCAAATTCGAGAATGGTATGATTCTGCGCACCATTGTCGAACAGGTCCAAGGAAACACCGTTGATTGTCATTTCGATTGCCATATTGTTGGAAAAGATGTGATAGCCAACGCCGAGCCACTGCAGATTCGGTTCCAACAAGGTGAAATGAATCGGTTGCTCGTTGATACAGGGTGGCAGTGTGAACGACTGCTTGCGATCCTCCCTCCAGGCATACGATTTGGTGCCAAAGTCAGCTTGAACAACCGCATCGTGTTCGGATACATTGAAGCAATCGCTGTCGTGGCCCAGTCTCAGTGTCGACGACCCCACGTTGGGTTCCCATTCCATAATGGATCCAATTTTGATATTGTCCTCCAACAACGTGTCAAGCAGCTCTTCGGTTGTAGTAGAATTGCTGCTGGGCATGGGACGAATCATTGGAGCGGTCTCTTTGTTCGAGTCGTTGTCAATATCGAATGATGGACAATGGGCCAGATCCGAGTAGATTGCATGCCGAATCATGGCTGTGATGAGGTGCATTGCGACACAGTTGGGATGATGCTTGTCGTCCAACAGTATTCCAGGCTTGTGTGCTACGGCTGTATGATTTTGGATGGTGCCCCCCACGTTCAGTGCCCCAATGTTCCATCCCTGCGATTGGTAGTGTTCAATTACCCTCTTCTGCGCCTTCCAAGAAGATTGACCAATTCCGTGTTGCAAGATATGGTCGCTGTCGATACCAAAACTGGTGCCATTTCGTTTGTAAAAGTTGGCATCCCACAAGTAGACAAATAAAATGGGAGGCGGTGCTCTATTGGCCTGCTGACGAAAGAGGGAATACACTCGCCACAACCACAGGTTCAACATTTGTGCGAGGTGTTGGTCGGTACGACGGGGTAGCTTGGTAGTTCCTCCCAAGGCATCATTGATTCCGTACTCCACGATCAAGAGATCCGCACTATGAATCATCCTTTCTGCTGATTCGGCCATGCTGGTTCTTGTTGTTGTATTCTGCGTGTTGATCAATTCATCTAGCATGAGAGCATTCCAAACGGTATCGGTAGCACCTTGTGCCATGTTGATGACATCAAATTCTAGCGAATGACCATTTTGAGTGTCCATGGAAAAAAAGTCCTGAAGGAGTTGCTCCATTAGAATGTTGCTGTATCGACCAGCATAGGGATCACTCTTGATGTCACTGCTTTGGTTGACATTGTGCCTTGGGGAGTGGTAGCTGCAACGCTTGGCCGAATGAGCCGAAGCCGAGCCACCCAATACTGCAACATGCAATGCCTTGGAAGTCGATAGCAACGGCCGAAGAGTACAGGGACTCCAAGATAATGGAAACCCATGGTCTAGTACCGACTCTTGGGTAGAAAACTCCGTGTCAAAGATGTCATTCAAGTGAAGCAAGGCACTGGAGGCACTCGATTGAGACAAAACATCATAATGATCAGTCTTTTTGGTTTCAGTCGATCCTAATTGGGCAACCAGGCGACCTCCTTCTGTTACCAAGAAGTAGAGAGCTTGCAGACTGCAGAGCAAGAGTCCCAACCATCGCACTTTGCAGGCCATGGAGACCCTCCACATCCCACCCTCCTCGTCCGCAGTTGTTGTTGGTGGGTGGTGGCAAAAAATCACGTCTGGGTGGGTTTTGCAAAAATAAATAAATAAATTCATATGCCCTCTGGGTCGTCTCCGTTTCCAGTACTAGTTTAACTCGTTTACTAATACAGGATTATGGTGAATAGAATCGAATGAATCATGTGGCTTATATTTAGGGTTTAGGTTTGGCAATTTTGAAGTCAACGTGGTATATGTGAGGTTGTAAAAGTTTTGTGTGATAGTATGTGTTAAGTGGAGGGTTGGCTCGCTTCCGCTGGGAGCTTGATGTCTTCTTCTTCCTCTGTTTCCCGCTCTTCTTCGGTACTGGGGTATTCGGTAATAGGATCGTGAGCAAGTTCGGCAGCTTTCTTCATACCATGTGGAGTGTCATCATTCTGACTATTCGCAGGTG